AGGAGTTAATTGGATTGTATGTGCAAAAAATGTAAGATTTATAACCTGCGACGCGGATTTCTAGAGGGTGGCACACAAGGAACAAACGAAGCAAACGGATATACTCTTAATGGGCTTAATATGCTATAACGACTGTTATTGAAACAACATTGACTTAAAAAAAATCCTCAAGAATGCATTCTTGATGGGAAGAGTGTGAAACATTCCAACATCCTCCAGGGACGACTTCGTTGATACTTCCGGCCTGGGTACCGGCGTGAGTCACAAAAGACTGTGGACTTTTGCTTATTAAAATTGACTCCCAGAATCCTCCCGCAAGATCTCCATATTAACTTAACAACATATTTTTGAACCGATTGCTAATATTTGAAGAAAATAAACTTCCTGCTCGCTTATCGTTGCTTATGTCTAACTTTTTGGCCAAAAACAAAATCACAATCATGCTTCATCCACCATATTGACCGGATATAGCCCCCTAAGACCTTTTCCTCTTTCAAAAACTCATGAAACTCATGAAAGGAAGCAGGTTTGGAACGGTTGAGGAGATAAAGAAAAAATCGCTTTAAGAACTCAAGGCTATATCAAAAAGTGCTTACGAGATATGCTTCAAGTATTAATAAAACTTATGTCACCGTACTTTTTGACCACACCTCGTATACTGTCTCTTCTTTATAAAGAATTCCACCGAGCTATAAGTTCGACGTAGTCAATATTAGTTATTAATTTAGTAAGACACATCTCACACCGGAAGTACAAAAAGTCAACATTTTCAAAACAAATTGGAAGAAAAAAAACAATCTCTTTTAATTCTACTTAAATACCTTTTAAGGATAAAGGCCCAGACAACAAAAATCGAGAAACTATTAATTCGAATTCTATAGTACATCCAAGGCGCTTACGTTAACGATTTGTAGTAAATTAAATATTAATTAATTAATTATTTAATTCAATTTAATAAGATTTTAAGAATAAGTAGCTATATGTTATCTTGAAACTGACATGTGTATGATAGTTTTTGTTACTTATTGTTATTGACACAAAAGTATTGTCTGCATTTTAATTGAAAAGAAAACCGTTCAAAACAAGATAATTAATTAAGTTATAATCTCAAAATATTTTTTTTAATGTGTAAAATAATACTTTGATATTGTATTTATGCAACTATTTTTTAAGAAATAAATATCAGTATATGTTTATAGTTTAATAAAAGATTCACTTATTAAATAAAAACAAAAACCGAGTTTATAAATCGTTTAACTTAAAATAAAAAAAAACAAAATGAAAGAAAATTATTAATATTTTGGTGTGATCTTCCACCTAATCTTAATTAATGGTAAAAGTCACATGACAGAAGACCCTCTTTTCTATTTAAAACGTCAGGAAATCGTTTAAAATTAACAATGATTCCAGTAATAATTTATATGCAAATCAATATCAAAATATTTACCTAAATTGTTATATTATATTATATTTTAGTTAAATTGTAGAAAAGAGTAGATTTATTACAACGCGATTTCATTGGCATTTTAAAAGGTAGATTCTTGAAAACATTTTGTCAGATTTTAATGTATTTATTTTACATTGGACATAATGAAAACCATTGGATAAAGTTTATGAAATCCAGTCCTCCAAATTCGCAAGTTCGAATATCAAAAACATCTCGAAAAAAAAAATTAAACTAATTAATGTGAAATCCAAAATTAAATCTAAATAATCGCGATTTCCGAGTCTGACGCTATAACCAGTTGGTGGATTGGATCGGAGTCGACATATCGTATAAAAGTCAATCGTCAACAAAAATTCCGTTATTACGTCGAATGGACATTTCCCTTGCACCTTGAAACGTCACTGTAACGTTAATGCATGCGATTTTTGACCTGCTATACGAGCGTTGCTAAAACATGTACGCGAGTTCTTTTTGACAGTCACATTTGCGCCAAACCCAATACCTTATAACAATTATAGTTTATTGGATATTATATATTAATTACACACTACTAACCAAAAATATATACAGGGTGTTGAAAAATTCTACACCAAGATTTTAATGGCCTATTTATCAGCCAAAACTGCCTTGTTTTTTTTATATAAACAGATGTCCCAACATATTTTAATTGATATTTATAGGCAAAATCATGAAACTCTACTGACTTTTTGAACAGTTAATAATTATTTAGGTGAAGCAATAGCCAGAACAAAGGTTAAGCTGATTATTGGTGAGTGGCTCTTTGAAATTTACATCAATTCCTTCGATGGAGGCCCTTAGGTGGGGCTCGAGGCCCGAAGAACGGCCCTAAGATTGCAGATCCTGGAAAACTGGGTCAGTCGGCAACAGAGGAGCACCAACAACTGCTGTCTGTTTTAGGCAGTAACCAAGATGTTCTCTCTATGGAGAGGGATGGGCTATTCTGGCTGGTCTAGTCTGACCAAAATATACACGAGAACCTCAACCGAGGGTACTGTATTTGCAGTGGATATTTGAGGGCAACGAGATATCTGGAAACTAGCCTTTTGTCCGAATAGCAGTACGCTAAGGAATGAGCTAAATAAATAAATGGCTCGAGAGATCTCTGCATTGCAAGGGTTTACCCGTACTGAAGTTGTCGAGACTTCCCTACGTCCCGTGTATCGCGCGCATCCAGGAAGGCTATTAGGAATCCTACCAGGACATTGCCATCTAAGAAGGCACCTTCAGATCATGGGCATGGACGAAGACAGATGTAACTGTGTTTAAAGGAGAGGGAAACCCCAAGAAACTAGGAGCTTGAAGGTACTGTTCTTCGTCTTCTAGGGGATGGTGCAGCCTGAATACAGTCTAGTCATTAGGACAGGGATGCGCCGCAGATAAGAGTCAAAAATTAAACTTTGTTTTTGAGTAATTTTTAAAAATAGCTTTTTCAGAGCGTCTAGCACGATACAAGGCAACGGTTTTTGAATTTTTATCTTGTCTAATGTTTCCAGGTTTTTTTTTTCTTTATTCTGGTATCTAATTCTTTTCACTGTATCAATCCAGGAAATTTTAAACAACCGTTTTGTATGTGCACATCTCGAATGCCCCTATTTTATTAATAGTGTTTACCTTCAGCGTCCAAGCTTCCACCCCATATAGTAGTATGCATTTTACATGACGCACGTGTAGGCAAATTTAGATCATTGCATTTAAGTGCCTTTCCATAATTCATCAACGCATTACGTGCCATTCTGACTACAGCCATCAATTTCAAACAACGTTGCGTTGCGTTTGGATTTATTTAATCTAGTTTTCTTCGATTACACATGTTTTGCAGTTCTTTTTGGCACACCATTTCACTTCAACTCTTATTTCTGGTTCTTCAAAGGTTCCTTCAAATATCATTTCTGAATATATACTAAATAATTTATCATCTCTCGATGTTTCGATGTTTTGTGTTCCCAGTATAGACTCTGTAGGCATCTAATATTTTTGTTGTCTACATCTGTCATGTCGATTATTTTTTTTGTGTATTTTACATGCCTGAAACCTTTTTCTTTATATTTCATATTTAGCTCACATTTATTTTATATTCCATAAGCGATGTTTTCAAGAATATTTTGGGTTCATAAGTCTTATTGGTCTGTGATTATATTATTATATTATAAATATATATCGTACATCTTGCAATATTGTCATTTTCGATAAGTTTTAGTATTCCTAGAGGTATTTTATCCGGTCCAGCAGTTTTCTTATTTTTGATCTCATTTATTTGTAATGGGGGTCCAAATAAGTTTTCTCAAGTTATTCCAGATGTTTCTTTTCTCTTCAATTTATATTGTAAGTTCATATAAATCATTACCTAAGTGAGTTCCGGGTCTAGGCCTGTATACTCTCGCTGCTTCTTTTAATTATTATTTGTTGCTTGCTTTTTAACTTTTTAGTGCTGTCGGGTGTTTATTTATTTTTGATTGCAGGTCTTCTTTTATTACAGGTTTTTTTATTTGGTCACATCATGCGTTTGCTTAGTGGTTATATAGGCTGACGGAACATCAGCACCTGGATATGGACTCTTTTGTCTTGTCACTGGTTATTTTGAAAAACTATTTCTTTGTCCTAAACTAAATAGGCGCCAGCTACTTTAGTTTAATTGCTATTTTTAAATCGCAAAGTTTGGTAAGTTTTAGAGCCTTCTTGATGTATAAAATACTTTATTTTAGTAATCAGATTTATCTAGTGTGGGCGTATATACCAGAATAATATTTAATTAACTGGTCGTGATTATTTTGGCTAATGTGCTTGTAAACTATACTGCATTTCGATGGTTTTTCTCTTGGTTCTTGTCAAAGCAAAACGTCATACCATCTGTTTTACCTTGTCCATTTCGTGGCCACAAAGCTTGGCAAATGGCAACAGTATTTTTAGATTTATTCTCATCATTTCACCAGCTTCGAATGGACATTCCGCGTCACTTTTTGAATACTATTCTTGACGGGAATTCTTAGTAACCTCTCCTTGCCTGAGATTGAGAGTGGTTTATTTTTTCTTGCGTTCTTGTGGTTGTTTTGGGAAAATATTTCAGTGATATACCGTCGCCTTCTGAAGGGATTGAACGTCAAAGTCAAACTTTCTTATCTCTCGATTTTGATGAAAATTATTAAATTTTAAAAAAGTCATGATTTTACCCACCAACTGGATTTTGAATAATAGAAAAAAAAATTCAATAAATTTTGAACCTCTTAAGAAAATAAGTTAGAAACACATGCTCTTATAAAAAAAACAAAGTCATTTGCTGATAAATTTGCCTTTAAAATCCTTATACTGAATTATAAGATACTGTGTATTTTAAATAATTGTAAAAAAAAATCAAAATTTCGAATAAATAGTGGCTTACCCAAATCATGCACCGCACGTGACATTATACCAAACTTCCTTGACATTTGCAACCCGTATTTACACAACAAAGTTTTTGGAGGGAACCGGTACTATAATATCGCTATTTAAAACTTTTGATTGCATTTCGTCACCAAATAATAAAATATCTGCTCACCTTTGCGCGTTATCTTTGTGTTGACGTCCTCGGATCCGAAACTTTTACCTGATGGCCTGCCGTTTGCAGAAGTCTGTCCGTCAATCAATTAACATTTTAAGGTGAGCGCGTCTGTAAAGAACGACTTTGTTAAATAAATAATTTCGAGATAGAAATGCGAATATTTCGTAAAAAAAACACGAAAAGGAACAGCGAACCTTTGAAATTGAAAAAAAAAAAATAATCAAATCGGCCAAGCAAACACAGCAATTTTGTCCAGTTCCTGAAATAGCCACCAGCGGGCGTAATGGCCACCCTGATTGTTAAAAGCCGATTTCTGAAAAATTTAACGCTAGTTTTGAAGCTGAGACAAATTCAAATATTTTTGGTTCAACGCTCTTGCCTCTATCTCTGGAAGGAAAATGGTAGAAGGTTTTAATAAACTTAAAGTAGTTAATAACGGCTTTTCCTAAAAATAAAACATCGGTAAATTCAAAAATTTTTACAAATAATAGCGATTTCCAATTATATTTTTTCAAATATCTGGCGCATCCTGTATAATAAACGAAACTTGAACCTCTCTCAACACTCTTTAAACCAAATTATCCCATGTTTTATAGTTTTTCATTTAGGGCTAATATAATTTACCCACGAAAACGGCAATTTTCAGGGTTTATTTGTAATCCAAAAAATGCTGCAAGTAAAAATTATAGTCCTCGACCTCCCACGTTTCCCGGTATATGAACTTTTTTCAATAAGATAAATAGTTTTCGAGAAAATACTTGTTTTCTGAAACCATGCAGTATGCTGTAGTAGTAAATGACTTCATACCGTCTAGAATAAATGCGAGATATTCCGATTTTCAAATAGATTTTTTCAAATATCTCGAGCAGCTTGAATGTTTGAACGAGTTAGCTATTGTTTGTACGAATTTTGATTTACAGTTAATAATTTACTCCCTAAAAGAACAATTTTCTAGTTATACCTTGTATATAATCGAAAAAATGCGTGAAACAAAAGTTAATAATAATAATAATAATAATAATAATAATAATACACTTATTGTTATAACCATGAAAGTTACATAGAAATAATTACATAACCAAAGTTAAATAAGTGAAATAATGGTCAACAATAGGCCTTGTTAGGGCAGTCATCTAGAAGTTCTAGATACTATATAGATCTAGATATAATAATAAAAAATTTCATAGAATTTATTTGAAAGCGCCAAGCGTAGATACACATAATTCTAAAGAAAAGAAAAGAGAAGAAATTGAGGGGGAAGGAAAGGCAAGGGGCACATGTTTTGTAGAAGAGCTTAATATTAGTGCGTACGTAACAACTGCTTAACTGCTGTTAGTTATAGCGCCAGACCTCCCACGTATTACGGTTGTAAAGCATTTCCGATCGGATTAATGATTTTGGAGGAAAAAATGTTTTTCTGGAAGCCAAAATAACCAGAAAAAAAATCAGCAACTTAAAAAAATACTTCGCGTTATTTTATTGCCCCCAATTCAAAGAGTTTTTTAATATTGCACGGAAATTCTCGAACACCCTGTATAATACTTAAAAACCTTAAATACAAAAGTTTTAGCCGTCTATCGGGCTATATCGTCATGTAAAAGAAACTGACATCTAAAACATAGATTTTAAATTATGGCGAATTTTCTATAATAGGGGGAGGGGGACCCTTTTTTTCAGTTTTTTTTTTGTATATTTTTAAAAAATATCAAAAGGTAATGGTTATGGTTCTGGTTCAAGAATTTTTTCGCTCTTGTTACCGAGATCTACATTTTTTATACGAGCGTAGATACTTTTGAAAAATTCAATTTTTCGAAAGTAACAAGTAAGTCAGCATTTTATCGAAACCTATTTTGTATACTTTGGTATTCACATTCGACGTATCCAAGCCCAATCCAAAAACAGTGACTGATCTGTGATCTGACACATTAGGATTTAGGACATAGTGTATACTCTCCTAATCCTATTCTGCAAAAATGTTATCTATTATCGTGGCATGGAACGCAATTTTCTTTTAAGCATTTTATGTTGTGCGTAATTTAGACTCGATTTAAGGCTGCGATAGGTAGCAAGTTTTTTTAGAGCACACATACCTAGCCGAAATAACTCTTTCGGCAACTGCAACAAAAAGATTTTTTCTGAAGATTACCTCTTGTGAAAGATCGGGCGGGTAACAATGAAACGTCCAAAAGTGGGAAACCGTGTTGCCTGCGGTTGTGAAAAGCGATTGTTGTGAATAGATGCTTAGCATTTTATTGTCCCGTTTATAAAATTATCTGATGGCGTAAATAAGAAATTGCAAATAAATAATGAAACGATTTGCGGACGGAATTTTGCACTTTCCGATCGGAAACGGAGAAATGGAGATTTCTGTTTTTTCGGCTTACGCTATTTTTTAATATTTATATTAGCGTGTGAAATTTGTTTTGCTTGAGTGGATTTATTATCTTTTTTGTAGTGTCAAAGTGGTCTTTTTGTTTTGTCAAAACAGTTACCTTATAGCAAAAGCGAAAATTTCGTCAAAATTTATTTTTTTGCAATTAATTTCTATAAAATTTTCTATTATCATTATTAAGGCTTTACCTACGTGAGCATTATATTTTGAATGTTCGAATGTTTGTAACGTTTAATGTGGTTAATTAGCATAACAATTGAACTGAGGTGATTCTTACTTAATGAAATGCACAATTAAATTAGAAGAAAAAATGTTTAGATTTTCACAGTTATTTAATGACTAATAGCAGCTGTGCCGGTAACACCGTGCCTTTATCAAATCCAAAATATTACAAAATTCATTTTTAGTGGCTTTAGATTTTACTCTAAAGTCCACATTTTTTCCAATACAAAAATATGTTCTATAAACATGTCGAGGATTGTGCAATGGGAATGTCAATTTCAAGCATAGTAGCACAGCTTGTTATAGAGTATCTAGAAGGAAATGTTATTAAAAACAGTCAATTAAATTTACCTTTTTTTTATCGATATGTCGACGACATCATAACTGCCATTACAAAAAGAAAAACAGACTTATTACTAAACTCCGTCAATAAATTCCACGACAAATTCAATTCACGTTATCTAAATTTGAAATCTAATCATCCCCTAGCCCAAAAAAAAGTCATTATAGGTCTCGCAGACAGATCAATAATGTTATCTGATCCAAATTATAGACCAGACCCAATTTTGAAAAGCAAAACGCTCACTTCCAGAAACTAATTATCCCAAAAACTTAACAATATCTTTAGTAAACGTACCAACAAATTTTATAATAACGTCAACAAAAACCAACATCAAAATCCTCACAGCAAATATATATCGCTACCATATATACGTGGATTATCGGAAAAACTCCAAACCATTTTTAAGAACACGAAATTTAAATAGGAAACAAAAGTTATAATGTACAAAAAACATCAAAGCAAAAATTCGGGTTGAAAAAAGAAGTAATATAGTAATAGAATCAATGGACATAAGTATGACAAAAAGAAATAAAACAGCTCTTTATACCCATTGTGACAGTACCCAACATACATTTAAATTTGAAAAAGTTAAAATCCTACTAACAAAACCTAACACCAAAAAAAAGAGAACTTTACGAAAGTATATAGAAAACCAAAAAAACAAAATATATCATCCAATTTGCAACTAACAAAATCAAATTATAAAATATTTGCTAATAAAAAACATCCGTGCCTGCTTTGCGTGCCATTCTAATCTGCATAAAATATTCGCTGACAAATTATGTGTATTTTAAATATGTAATATATTAACGCAACGTCAAATGTCATCAATTTTTATAAATGTCGCTTATAAATTACATGATTTGATTTTAAGAGACCGAATACCCAAGAGAATTTGAGGAAAATATAGACAAGACGGTCCAAGAAACCACCTATTAAAAATTCATATCTTATAATCTTATCTATCAATAGAGTACTTAATGTACTACTTTAAGCAGATTATTTTAATTAATTTTACAGCCTTGGACAATTATTACGACTCCTCTTTGATAGATTAGATTATAACTATCAAACAGTTTCAAATAACTCTGAAGTCTATCCGTCCCACATTCACCAACGAATCCAAAAGGAAGTTTCAAAATATATATTTAAATTTAGTTTAAGTAATTTTTAAAAAGCAATAAAACCAAATCTCGAAAAGCTCAAAAAACCGGAGTTTGCAATTTAAAACGTGGATCATATCCCAAAATTTAAATTGGACAAATAAGTAGAATGTCACATGAAAGAACGTATAAAAATAAAAATTCAGAAGCCATTCATTTAAATTCAGAAATATACATGTTTATTTGACAATCAGTTTAATAGTTTACATAATGTATCAAAAAGCAAAAAACTATATAAAATATATAAATAAATATATAGACGTCAGAATATTATAATATTTTGTATTTCATAAAGGCACCGTGTTACCGAAGAGAATTTTATTTTTGAACATACTCGGATATATGAAGCAGTACGTGTTTTGAATTAAAGAAGAACAATTCTCATATATTTTTCTTTAGTTTTGGTTAGTTAACAATGATTAATTATAATCGCAAATTGTTTTTAAATAAAGTTTGTTGTTTGTCGACGTTGCTTTTGACTGCGATGCGACATGCCAGATTTGAAAGTTCGAACCGATATTTTGATATTTCTTCATTACGTTGAGATGTTGAGATTTTGCGAATTTCATTGATCTCGAAGTAATTGTGTTGGGTATAGAGTGGAGAAACAAATTAATTTTCGTTTATAATTTTTGTCAATAATCGGTACACGCAATTACTGCATCAGCAATAATGATTTACAACGCATTTCGTGAGAATGATTAAAAGTGACGCTTTGCACTATTTTGAAATTATGTAAATCATCGAATATTCTAACGCTGTTTGGAAAAAAATTTTTTCTTCCTCGTTCTCGGCCTAGTTTAGGAGTTAGTTTTACTGACTTAATAATTTTTACAATTTTATATGATATTGAGTGCATGAACGCTATTATTTATGTACAGTATGTCCAGCTTGACTTTTGAGATAAAAAGGAATTTTATGTGTTGCATATTTTTGAAAAACTACTAATAAGTTTGATTTAAAAGAAATACTGGGCTTTTCATTAAAAAGTTAATTTATAAATCGAAATTTGTGAGTTTCAAAAAAAGTTGACTTTCACTTTTTCAAAATCAACCTATAGCTAAAAAGTTAAGGTAGCTATGACATTGACATTTGACATATGACAGCAGCCTCAAAATCCGCAACATGGTAGCTGTAGTAATGAGGAATAATATATTGGAACACATTGTGCACACAGTTGCCCAGACAAAAGCGTCATACTTAACTAATGCTCATAGCGTTTCTTATTGATATTGATATTGGGGAGTTATTATTCAAACCACATCCTACCATTCAAAACTTAATATTTTGCTTTCCCACCTCGTTCAAAAATTGCGACCTGGTATTGTAAAATATTTTCGTGGTCCGTAATTTTTGCAGATTTTACAATATTTCCGTTAAATTAGGTAGGTACTGCGTCAACCTAGATTGCGAAAAATAATAAAAGTAATACTGGGTAGACGTATTTTTCTTTTAAATTCTTAAATCTTTGGTAATAACGTTTCATTACAATTTGAAATTCGAGTTTAATTAACAAGGTATGTGGAATATAGCTCTGTTTTGTTTTTATCTTGATACTGTTTTGATTTGGCTGTAACTTGTTTGTTTTTCGAGGTAAATGAAAAAGCAAAATTTAGGGTTAGCCAAGTTTTTCGCTTATTGACGTGTATTTTTTATTCCACTTGTTTTCGAGATATTGGTAACAACAATTTATTGGTCTTAGTCTTAAAGCCTTTTCATGTTCTTTGAGCCTAGTTGACATTTTTCGCCTGGTCTCTCCAATGTATTCTTTGCCTCATGTACATGGAATGCTGTAAACTCCTGGCATCTCAAATGGAATTTTGTCTTTGCCGGTTGGAAGATGTTGGGAGATTTTTGGACAAGTATTAAATCTGGTTTTGGCGTTATATTTCTTTAGAACTTAGTGCTGTTTTGAATGTAAGGATGGACAACAGTGGTAAGTGTGGGATTGCTTTCGGCCTCATTGCTAGTGGATGGTTGTGGTGAAGTGTATTTTGTGCTTAATATCTTTAAAGTGGAAATTATTAGAGAGAAGGTAATGTGATTTAATTCTGGGTTCAGTGACTCGGGCTGAGATAGTTTTACGGTTCTGCAAACAATTGATAACCGATGATTTTTGGGCCGGATGGTGATGTGACAATGCATTAAGGTATTGGTCTGTGTGCGTAGGTTTTCTGTAAACACAATAACCCAATGTTAGGTCTCATTTTCCATTGATAAGAATATCTATGAATGGGAGCTTGATATTAGTTTATATTTCAATGGCAAAACGATTGTTAGGGTGTATAGAGTTTAAATGACTAAGAAAATCTATTAGGGTTTTTTGACCATGAGGCCAAATAACAAAAGTATCATCGACGTAGCGTTGTCATAATTTTGATTTTAGATAGAAGGTGTCGAGAGGTCTCTTTTCAAAGGCTTCCATAAATATATACGCGAAGATTGGTGATAGTGGAGAACCCATAGCTGTTCCCGAAGTTTGTTCAAAAATTTGACCATTATAAGAAAAATATGTTCCAGACAAGCATTTTTCAATTAAGGTGAGAAGGTTTGCTTTCAGATTCTCAGATTTTAATATATCTGAAATGATGTTGACAGTTTAAGGAATAGGGACTTTAGTAAATAGGGATTCTACGTCGAAACTAACCTGAATATCTTGTGTATCTAATGTAACGTTTTTTAATTGTTCAATGAAGTGGAAGGAATTAAGTTCAAAACGAATCAGTTGTAACAAAAATAAAATGCCTATAAAATATACAGTTCCACTCAAAAAATTGCAAATTTTCTAATATCTCAAAACCGGGAAGCTGACAGCCATTGGATAAAACATGGCTGGTCCATTTGGAATATTTCTTAGAATTAAAAAAAATATAGAGTCAACGTACAATTTTTTTCTTTCGCTTGGTAGTAAACTTGAATTTCGGGAAAAAGCGAGCAAAAACCAAATTCGTGCGTTCCACTTCGAAATTTTTGCCGTTAAATAACAAATCAATGAAATATGGCGCTTGGGAACGAAATTCTCCACGCTCTGGTAAATTCGATGAAATTCGGGAGACGGACTTGACAAAAGAAAAATCTCTTACGGGCAGAAACGATGTTTTCCGTTACTCACGCCCTTCTCGCAAGCGCGACGTCGATAGAAAAACAATATCGGACGCGTTAACGATATCGCGATCCCGCGCGCGTAATTCAAAAACGAACAGCTAGCAAAAAAATATTCGCTTGCCGACAACGGTTTGGCAGTACCACGAGCCAGACTGACAATTTCTCTTGCAGTTTGGTCGTACCGCGTCTAAAGACGCGTGGTAAACGCGATGGTAGGAGGAATTGAGGGGGATTGTTTACGCGCTGTATTTGACATTCGACGTGCAAGTGTCAATATCCACCGTCATGCGTTTTGAACCCGCATGCCCGTTTTAGAGTACTGGGAGGGTCAACTTTTAACGGGTAACTCCTCTCTCCAGAGGCGATAGACGAAAACCAATGGTAAACATTTTTGAATTGAATTATTTTGAGGAACAGCTTCAACAAAACAAAAAATGGGAGTCGAACATGAGGGATACTCAATTTGGGTTTCGTAACTGCCTGGGAACACGTGAGGTATCCTTTGCAGTACCAGTCCTCTTTCATCGATGAGGAGACGTTACGCATGTTTTGTGGACTACACTAAGACGATCGATTGTTGTCAACACGGTAAAATGATGGAATCTCTGGAATGAATAGGAATTGATACCAAGGACAAGCGAATTATCAGCAACCTGTACTGGGGACAGAAGGCGGTGGTGCGTATAGAGGAAAAATACTCCGAACCTCTACCCTGAGGAGACCTTTAGGAGAACGTTGGTTGAAATTTGTAGTGGAATAAAGATAAATGGAGAAAATGTAATCAATATCCGTTACGCCGACGATGCTATTTTGATAGCTAACAGTCTGGAGAACCTATAAGAACTAGTGGGGCCTCTTAACCCATATTAACCCAAGCATAAAAAAAAAATAAAAAAATGCTTTTTTTCTCTGAAATTATTTATTTTGTTGCACTTAAGAATACATTAAATGTGTCAAAAAACAAATAAAAACTCGAAATATACAAAAAATACTGGTGCGTTAACGAACCACTGAGAAGCAAGGAATGGAATGTTACAATACATAAGAATACGTAAATCCAAATAATACTTACGACTTTCTAAATGAAACAATTTATTGTGCTAATCCATTACGATCTCCTCCATAGTTGCCTCTAATTCCTTTTGAGTCAAAGTCAAAAAAACGTTCACTGCACAGAGTACAAACTAACACTAATGAACACGCCAATTGTTGGATGTTTATTCTACATGTACTGACTTGTTTAGACTTGCAATAACAAAGTTTTGTTTTTTTTTTTTCAAAAAATAAAGCATAATCAATATAGTATTTCCAATATATGTTTTCTGCCATGTAATCTACATGCTATAGACTTAACAAAAATGGTAATACAAATCCCAAATATTTTTTTTACTATTTTGGATTTATTTCAAAATGTGATTTATGTACTGCTTTTGTTATATAATAATAATAAAATTTCTAAAAGGATGTACAAAAACATTTCCTGGACGTGACAAAAAAAAACATAGAACAGGTGGTGCATTAACGCACCGCTGGGACAAAATGGGTTAATACGAGGGCTGCCTTTTTTATATTTCGGGATTTTCTTAAACTGCCATCTGGCGACTAACGTTTTTATAGAGACATTAGAAGAAGTTTTGGACGCCACCGGAATACATAAGACGGGTGTAGCCAAAGTCTGACTTTGGTTGTAAAGATGCTGAATTTTAGTCTAAGGTTTCAAATAATTTTCATCTTTAACCTCCATGTTTTTTCTACTTCTTTTTGTAAAATACCCAATATTGCGCGAATCAAGTGTGCGGAAAATGTCACCTTAGACCGTCAAGATGTCAAAACTGCCAGGAACACACTCATGAAACCGGAGATAAAATTTTATTCGAGAAAACTGAAATTCTTGATTGTAATCAGTTCCTCTACCAACGAAAACAATAAGCAGGTACAGAGTAAAATACGAGCCAGTTTCAGTCAAGCTCTGAAGAAGCCAACAGGATGATGACTGGCGAAACGTCAGCAATTTCGACTCAGGAAGAATCCAGAAGTTTTGTAAAAAGTTTTTGTTATTTATTTACATAATTGACCAACATCGCAAAAATGAACAGCGATAGTAACCATTTTTATTTGCCATAATTGCTTCATGCTAGAACGCGATTTTAAGTATATGTGATCTCTTTTAGCGTCCAGAAGAAACCAGTGAAATAGCCGAAACGTCGGACATATAAGAATTTGATTTTTAATATTTGAGTAAATTTTAAACTTAATTTTCTCTGCTGATTGAATTCGGATATATACATTTTTTAAAATTAAATATTCACAAAGGATATTACGTTTTTATTTAATATTAAAATTAAAATTCACATTCTATAGGAATTTTCGTCAGCAATATTAGATGTCTGTCGGAGTTAATGCATAGCGCCATCTTTTCTCGGATTTTTATTATTCACATTTCAATATTTTAATATTAAACATAACAATTATAGTTTATAATGAAATATAATTATAATTATTAAACAAATAAAAATTGAATAGCGTATGGTTCTTCTCCTAACCGATTGACATCAACCTTGTGCTTGATGGATATATTTCCCTCAAAACGTGTTTTACATCATCCAAGGGGGCAGGTGGGATTGATTATCTCTAAGCTACTCATTTGATTCCGCTAATGTTCTATTGAGTTAAAGTCTGGATTGCGTGGAGGTTAGTAGCTCAGAATGAACCGCTTAAGTGGTTGAAACATGTACTGACTAACACATTTTTATGGAATACGACGAGCTGGTTCTCTGGTTGGACTATTTTTAGCACTGACTACATTTTAGATGGTCCGCAATAATAGTTGTATGGCAAGATTTGATTTTAAAAGTCACACTTCTCTTGCTATAAAACTGCAAGTTAATCTATAATCTTTTTTTGCAATATGTATCATATCTGATCTTGTAATTAATTTTTTTTTTGCTGTCCGCGTTGTTAATATATTTTTTTTGAGTTATGGGAACCGCTTACTAAATTTTTATTATAATTATTAATATTATGCAATTTGGCTTACATAGTTTTTAATGCCCTATAAGGTTTGTATGTACTTATTAGGTCAATTCATTCAATGTTATTAGATACTCTAAAATATGAGACGTTGTTGACGTTTTGCCAATCATCCTGTTGGCTTCTTCAGATAATCCAGAAATTATAAATATGTTGGTACATACTTCTCAATCATTTTAAATAATTAATAATGTAAATAACGTTAATAATTTAAACTTATAATTGCCAAACTGTCTAATTCTTGTTAACATGGTTGATGATGCCGTTGCATTGCGGGTAATTACATCTCGCCATTAATTTTTTTGTTAATCGATCAATTATTAACCCGTGGAAATGTAATTTCAGCAAAAGTTCACGTCAATTAAGAACCGAGCGGGTTGTCAAACGAGATTGTATTAGCAGATAATCGAGAGAAACAAATTGCAAGAAAAAATTTGATTAATCACACGGTCGAATCAAATGGCCGGCCAGCAATGTTTCTCACTTGTTATTATATAAGTTCACGGTTGCTGGTTAGCAATAAAATAATTGACAAATTGTTGTTACAAAGGAATAATTAAGTTAGGTAAATGAATGCTCCAATTGGTGCAGTTTTTGGGAATTCGCTGTTAGAGGAAAACAGAAACGTGTCGACATTCTAAACATTCGATTGTGTTGGGAAAGCCGGTACGACTTTTTCACTGCAATTCCCGATGATTAATCGTTTTTAGTTAAACTTTGACTTTAAGTTTGAGGCTTTGGTAAAAGAAAGAATTGTAATTGCAATCAGCATTGAAAGCAATTACAACCATTGTGGAAAAGGTTTTGGCAGCTATTGATGGCAAGCTTATTTGTTGTATGACCTTGAATCTTTCGACTTGTTTTTTACGATATAAGGGGTCAAAGTTTGAACTTTTTTAGATCTTACCTTAACAACAGACAACCTAACGGTAATGTTTCTGAACCACAATTTGTTTCGCTTGGGGGCCACAAGGCTCAATTCTTTTCCTTATATTTATTAACGACTTACCCGCGAATATAAGATCACATATGGTTTCTTTATATGCAGATGATACGAGAATACTTAATTTGGGTAGGACCTTACGTGACGCAGTATCTGTAAGTATTCAGGCGATTGTTGATGCAGAAGAATCGTTTCGTTCGAACGTTAGCTCTTACAACGCTAAACTTCTGGGTGTGTACACAAATAGTAGACTTAACTGGCACGTGCTTGCCGGGAGATTAAACAAAGTTACATTTCAGATTCAACTTACAACTTTTGAGACGGCTTAAACGTTTTATTTCAGTAACTTCATTAACGTGATATCATATAGCACATTGTTGTGGGGAGACTCTTCAGAGGCAGCTAGAATCATAAAATAAGGATCACTGTAAGCCACTACTTAAAAAAATCAAAATACTTACTGTTCCTTCAATTTTCATCTATCAGTGCGTAATGTATGTCGATGAAAATAAAAGAAAAGAATTCCGATATTCATATGTATGATACCAGACATAGAAGTGACCCGTGTGTTCCCTATCATCGTGTCAAAAAAAATCAATCATCCATTAACTTCATTGGTATTGAACTGTATAACAAAACACCGGCAATTCTCAAAAACAACGGTTCACCGTTGGAATTAAAAAAAATATATTAAAGACATTTTAACAGAATAATACTATTATGACTATAAAGAATTTTTTTACTGCAAATATGACTTCTAAATTTTAGATTGTTTGTGTGTGCGTAAAATGTGTGTGTTATATACGTTGTATGTGTACTTTGAAAACTCATACTGACATCTTTAAATGTATTGTTTATACATGTTTAAGTAATAAATTATTTTATTTTATTTTATTAACTTCTAAGCAAAAAAAATCTTTTGAAAATTTTTAATTAGTATTTATTCTAAACTAAACATTTTGTACTTACTGATTGCCACATTCTGTGGGAATTTCCATTATTAGATGCCTGTCTAAATTGATGAATTTCGTTTTTTTTTCTTCAAGTCTTTATGTCACTTATTAAACGTAATACATAATTTAATGTCAAACGTCACAAAAGTTTGTGATAACACTTGAAAACAAAATCAAAAAATTAAACAATAAAAAAATCAATATCCTCCCTATCCGACTGTCAGGTCAAGAAAATGTAGAAGTAAACAGTCATCAATTTGCTTTCACACAAGGGAAGAGTACTAACAATGCTATCGATTTTTTTAGGAATTATCAAACCGTTAGGCCTGAATTTACAAAAATAGGAAACTTTTTGGGTGGCCAAAGATTTATTAAGATGTGTACGCCGCAATGAACTAGGAAAGCTAGTAGTGGAAGGAATGCTTGCTTCCAATGGGGACGACATATTCCTGTTCTATAACAGGGAGAAATCGTCCCAACTTTTCAGAAATATATACGTTGACACTTTAGTAGACCCAATTAAGGAAACTAATATTATAACTTGGGAATGATGGTTGATAGAAACCTTAAATAGGATAATCATGTCGTGTACTTAACAAAAAAAAAACAGATCTTTTTTGCATAAATTTTATATGTTAGGAGAATGTATTTCTTAAAAAACTGTTACATTTATTTAGTTAGACCGCTTCTATGCTACGGGATTCTAATATGAAGTGGAACATCTTCAGCCTCTAAGAGTAATACAAAACGGTCAACATAAAACTATGTTTAAAAGTTTCTCGTAGAGATACTTGCAGTGTTAATACACTGTTTATCTTGAGTACATAAACTTTCTTCCAGGCAGGTACTATAATTTATTCAGGTCCAACATTTTATAATCTGCTCCCTATGTGGCTAAAGAAAATTAAAATAATTTAATATTTATATGTAATTAAATATTTTCTGGAGAGACCAAAAACTACGTTCTAGAAAACTGTTATATAGAAATATATTAGTGGCTGTTGAAAATTTTGTTGAATAGTTTTTCTTATATATTTGGGACTTTACATGCAATTTAACAAAAAAATTGCCGAAATGAATTTGAAATTTGTAAACAATTTTTCTCAATTGAATATTTAAAGGATAGAGAAGTGACACTTCCGTCTACAGTTGGGCTACATTAGTTGCCAGTGTAGCAAAAGATGTATCAATAAAAAATGTATATGAGTATGTTCTAAATTGGCATGCAATAGTAAATGCCACCAAAGCAAAGACTGTCTTAATATGTGTTTTATTAAAATATTTTTTGCCAAAAAGTTTAGCAGTAGTAGTAGCAGTAACAGATTGTTTAGAAAAATAGTCGCAACTGAATAGTGGACGTTAAAAATCGTATTAATACTTTTGACATTTTCGTAACAGCGAGGTTAAATTGTAAGAAATAAACAGCCGTTTAACTTTGAACTAAAATTACGAAATCTAGCTCGGTGCTACCCATTGAGATAAAGCTACTTATATACATAGCCTTGAGCATAACTACTTCAGAAGTATCTCATAAAAATCATATGTTTTCATATATATTAAAGTTCCAAGTAACCTTAAAAACTTACAACACACGTGATTTCTTAATTTATATTATCTGGGTTCTTTGACATGCCCATTTCGGCAAATGTTGCTTAAATACCTTCTAACATATAACTGCTAGGATCAAGTATAGAGATATACAACAAAAAATATGTCTGATTTTTATTTAATTGTTTTTTAAATAATATTTTACTTGAAGCAAATTAATTTTTAAATATCTATTTTTTAATATACCTCTGAAGAATACATATTGTTTTTATTTGAAACGTACTGAACAAAACAGTTTAACACTCCTAAAGAGAACGAAGGTATTTCATATAGAGTTACTAAGTTTTGTTCTGCTACTTAGGTAATATACAGCTAACATATCAAGTTCTTTTATTATCATCCAACGTAAATTATTCCCAAAGACAAAGTGTAACCAAAACAAATAGTCATATTAAAATTAACCCAACTGTATAAGAGACATAAGAGCATAATATCAAAAATTGATACCCCTGTCGATCCGCTATGATGTGTTGAATGGGTTATTTTTTTTTAAAAACATAGAATTTAAAATGAAAATGAAAAATATTGCTATTTGGAAAGCTTCTTATAACAGTAGTGAATATGTAGTAATATACAAAAATTTTTTAATGTCTGCTTACTTACAGTTTTTTGTGTTATATGTTTTCGTATTTTTAAATTTTTAAAATTGCAGCAGTAAGAGCATATTGGACCGATGAGCAGCGGCAAAGTAAAACACACATTTTTCACGTCTTGTTTAATGTTTATACGACTTTAACTAATAGTGTCCTTATAATATCAAAATTTTCAATTGATACAACCCTGTTTTCATAAATTCTTTCCTTAGACTTAACGAATTTCGAAACCAGTGCGTTTCATAGATCGTGAAATGAATTGCCATTAACGTTCAATTTAGGTTATGCCTTCCACCAATCAATTTTTACACTGGCATTCACTTTTCTTCCTGAACTTTGTGGTGAACTAAACCAACCAAAACGTTCTGAAATCCGGAGTTGAAGTCCAATCCCACTTCGTTGTACAGAAAGTCTTCCCTCAGGTCTTCGTAGTAATCGTTCCCATCCGGTCCGCTCACCAAAGCTCCGTAAAGAATTTGGGGGTTGGGCTCGGACGAGTGGATGAACTCCCAGCCGCACGCAGCTGGCCGATCTGGACACGAACTAAAACGAATTTCGATAAGCTAAGTATTGAATGGTGCATTCTATGAGGACATTAAGCGACACACACAAGAAATACTGACGATGGTGCTACAGCTTTCGGGGAGTCACGTGTAGCCATATCTTGGAAAATGGAAAAATGTTACTCCTCAGAGTGATTTTAAGATTTATCTTCCTTAAAAATTTTCATTGAAACCAAAAATCCGCATTCTTGAAATAGGAAAATAGAAATTAAAATAAGTTAAAGAATTGTATGTTCAACCAATAAATATAGGCAATTTTTATCTGATCCCTATAATATACCGGGTGTCCCAGTAACAAGGTACGGTAGTAGGAAAACGGAAGGTCCTAGAAAAAAATAAAAAATGCTGGAAATTACTTGGAAATGGTGACCAGGGGACGTCAATTTATCTTAAATTTACAAAAATTAGTTGTTAACCTTAGTCAATAAAGCCAAGACAAACTGAAATCTTTTTGTTTAATGGTGTGCGCTCTAAATTTGCAAAAAAAGTGGTGAGGGCTGCTCGATAAATAAATCTCCATATCTCAAAAAGCTTAACGAATTTGAATAAACTTGGAGTCGTTAAAAAGGTCTGTTTCTAAGCTATCAATCGGGCTATTAGAGACGCGACTGCGATTGCTTAACTCGTCATCAGGTAACATTAGATGGTCAAATAAAGGCACCATAATGCGGTGAAAACCGCATCTTAATATCTTTCTTCTAACCTAAAATATAAATAAAAGAACTTGAAGCCCAAAAGAAAACTTTGATTTTGATTCTGATCCTGAATTTGTAAAATAAAAGGATTATATTTAGGATGCCACATGTTATTTACAATCAAAATAAAATGTTATTACTTATGAAAGGTGTTTTTTTTTCCGGTGTATAGAACTTTAAGTTGCAATAAAACAACGATGGATTATTCGGTTGACATGAATTTTATTTATCCGAAAGATAATCTTGTGGCATTAGATTTTGAATATGATTTCTGGCATATGACCGCCACGGCTGGCGCGGATGTAGTCCAATCTGGACGTCCAATTTTCGATGACATTTTCCAACATTTATGGCCGTATATCGGCAATAACAAGGCGAATGTTGTCTTCCAAATGGTCAAGCGTTTGTGGCTTATCCGCATAGATCAACGACTTTACATAGCCCCACAGAAAGTAGTCTAGCGGTGTTAAATCACAAGATCTTGGAGGAAAAATTCACAGGTCCAAAACGTGAAATTAGGCGGTCACCAAACGTGTCTTTCAATAAATCGATTCTAGCACGAGCTGTGTGACATGTTGCGCCGTCTTGTTGAAACCACATCTCCTGGACATCATGGTTATTCAATTCAGGAATGAAAGAGTTAGTAATCATAGTTCTATACCGATCACCATTGACTGTAACGTTCTGGCCATCATCGCTTTTGAAGAAGTACGGACCAATGATCCCACCAGCCCATCAAGCGCACCAAACAGTCAGTTTTTCTGGATGTAACGGTGTTTCGACATACACTTGAGGATTAGCTTCGCTCCAAATGCGGCAGTTTTGTTTGTTGACGTAGCCATTCAACCAGAAGTGCGCTTCAGCGCTAAACAAAATTCGCTTATGAAAATCGGGAACAACGGCAATCTCGTTTTGGGCCCATTCGACGAATCTACACCTTACTTGATGAATTCATGATGAATTGCCAAACCAAACTGAGAATAAATCACTTGACAGCTGTTAAATCGGTCGCCATCTTGAACAGTAATACCAACTTAAAGTTCTATACATCGAAAAAGCACCCATTATTTTGTTGTTTTGACATGCTCACCTGTTTTCAAATATTTAGTGTTATCACTTATTTTTCTATTAAAAATTACTCTTAATTTATTGACATCTGTAAGTAGTAAAATGTGGACAACTATTTATGAAATGAATAAATTGCTTTTTACAAATTATCAAGATTGCCATGAATGCACATTTTGTGTTTGGCATCGTTATTTGATTCTTGTCAAAGTCTCTGGATTACCTTTTGTTTTAGTTGTTAAAGTTGTTATCCATTAAAAGTAGAACGAAAAAAATCAAATGATAAAGAAACAATTGTTATGTAAAAATATATAATTTCATGAAAATCTGAAATTTTAATTTATTCAATCACTTTGAATAAGCAACAATCTTCATGGTTAAGGTCCTCGATAATTATTACGATTTTTGTCTAGATATTAATTTCGTAGTTAAAATATCGTGAATAAGCACAAAAAACACAACAAATTAGGTTATACTCTTGGGTTTTAACATTTTAGGAAAAGTACGGTGACCATAAATTAAGTATTAGAAACACTACCAGGAAAGAATGCGATCAAATACACTAATTTCTATGCCAGCTTATACAGAATGTTCGCATATTACCACCCTCTAATTTTTGGAGAATTAAAAAATGGTTCAACCAGATTTCGAATGGCACCTTGAAATTTGAAATTAAAAAAAATTACCACAACACGTTTTGATAATAATTTTTTAATAGAAATAAAATGACCTGATTATTTGTCTGCATCATTTATATCACTTTTCATTATAAAAACATTATCTTTTAGATTATTGGTAACGCTTTTATTCGATTACCTTGCGGCATGCAGGGGTTTTTTAGGATAATCAACCCCGTATCCTACTACGTAACTGCGTCCCGTCGATCCCAAAATGTAGTCGATCTGAGTTTTCGCGAAATCGACGTATTTTTCCTTCGGGAAATCGGATAATTCGGCAGCTACGAGGCACACGAAAGCAATGTTGGTTGCGTGAGACAAGGTCCCGATTTTGTTGACGAATATCAGCCCTTTCGGTGTTTTCAGTTCGTCTCCCACCGCTTTTTCGCAAAAATCTCTCACGGGATGCGAGTAAGCTGGGTTGCCCGTGCTTTCGGCAAGCAAAAGCTAAAAAAATATTCGGCTTGTTAACAAGTTTCAAATAATTCTAGAAATTTCTGGACAAGTCCAACAGTAATCGTGCTGTGAAGCAACATCTGCTCTAGCGTTAAGACACTTTGTTTGACATAATGTTACTTAAAAATAAATATATTCTAAGTAATATAAAAATCATATGTTTGAATGATAGTACAAGTACAGTTTTAATGCAATCACAAAAATGATTTTAGGCTGCATTTTTTTATTATACCTTTTAAGTCATTTGTTCAGTTGCCAAAATGGCTAAACTCTTTAGATGATCTTGTGTCGTTGTAGAATGTTAAAAGTTCTTAATTAGTTAGCATCCTTAAAGCAAGGCAACGTTAAGGTTTGGTTCGAATTTAAATTAATTTTCAGTACATTGTTTGTTATTTCTTTTTTATCCAAATGTGCCAATATTGTAAAAATTTCCTCTGCCAGCTCTGCACCATTTATGTCAACAGAATCACTATGATAATTCTTAGAGTGTTTTAATGTTTTAATACCATTAATAAATGAATGCCAATTTGCGTTAGTCATATCTTTATCCGAATCTAAAAAATAGTTGCATTGTCCTCCCCACCCGTTAAGCAGTTTCCGAATATTGGAACTGATCCACAAACTTTTAGGGAAAGTTAAATTTATTAGCTTGGCAGCACCGTATACAAAAAAACTGCAAGTATCTCCAATGGTTAAATGAAATATCTTCGGTGAATCACTATCAGAAGTTCCCATGAAACTATCAGTAAAACATCTTTAAAGGCTTCGTATCGAATGTCTTTAAACACGGTTATAAATCAATATTTATAAAACAATTTATGCCTGAGCTTCATTTATTTTATAATTATGTTTAAATGAACCTCTTTTATTGCTGTTATAAAATTATTTTATAAGTATTCTGTAACGCTGTTTCACCGTTAATAACCTTTTGAAACCTTACTTATAAAATAATTTCATAGTATTGTCAAAAAACACGGAAATGTTATTTAAAATCATCCGGGGCCTCACATACAGCTAGTACAAAACTGTTATGTAACGTTTTTATAAAATGGTCAATATTGTGGGTGATCATGTTAATAAGCGTCATATTAAGATAGTTATATTAAAAGTGGTTGTTATATATTAAGCTATTTGACAATTTTCAGCGCGTTTGTACTGCTTTGTAACCCAATCAAAAAGTTTTTCCGGAAAAATCCTCAGAATGAGAATGAAAGAATTTCCAAAACGTTGTTGGAAATTAGCTAATTATTTCCTAGAAACCTTTATTTTTGCATCGTCATTGGTTACGTTAATTGTTGTATAAAATTATTAACGAGCACCCGTACCTTATTGCCGATTGTGAGGTCATTGTAGAAGAACATATTCGTTACTTTTTTCGTGTACAAGAACTGGTTGAAGAAATCCTCGGCCTCTCTCAGGAATCTCTCCGACGCTGTAGCTTTGTACAGCCAAATGGCGGCCCATGTTAATTCATCTCCGTAAGAGGTAAACCTGAGTATTAAAGAATACACAAAATATATCTTAACAAAATTTGTATTTAGGAAACTGATAAAAATAACTGCAAATCGTGTTGCTGAGCATAGCTTCTAAACAACGAGTGAGAGAAAAAGTAGAGGCAGACCACCGGCAAGCGATTTAAAAACTAGATCGAAGTCGTCTAAAGCAAGGAAGGGAGAAAAAACTACCTCTAGCCATGGAAACTTCTTGATGATGATGATGATACTCGATAGTCACGAGGTTAGTGCGAAAATTTCCCGGCCTGACATAGATGCAGCTCCAGTATCACGATAAAACTTTGCCTTCTTTTAAATATATATCTTAGTAGGCCGCGAAAAAAAAATTGAAGTCTATATTGTTTTAAACAGGACGTGTCCAAAAAATGGCGCAAATAACCCAAATTAAGTATAGAGCATTCATAAAGGTTTTGACAAAAGAAGGGTTAACACCTAAAATTATTAAAGATCGTACGGGCAAAGTTCTCCTTCGTATTCTGTAGTGAAAGAATGGGCAAAACGTTTTCGAATGGGACAGGAGTCCCTTGAAGATAATTCAAGAACTGGTCGACCATTGGAAGATATTGTTGCGATTGTGGAAGAGGTAGTATTGAGTGATCGACGTTTAAAGGTCAAGGAAATCTGAGAAATTACTGAGATTTCTGATTCGAGTGTTCGTCGAATCCTGCATGATCATTTAGGTATGCATAAGGTTAGTGCAAGATGGGATCCTAAAAACTTTTCGGCTATTCAAAAACAACGCCGTGTCGAGTGGGCGCGGTCTTTTTTGGAACTCTGTGGGTCGAAACCGAAGCGTTTGATAGAAACTATTGTGACGGAAGGTGAAACTATGGTTCTCTATTATGACCCCCTATCGAAAAAAGAATTAATGGAGCGGCGTCGTAAGGGTGAAGCACCTCCAAGAAAATTCAGAATCTGCCAGTCAACAAAAAAGGTGATGGCCACGATCTTGTGGGATTGTGAAGGAATTCTTCTCTATTATTAAAGAAACTAATACCAGTGTCAATGGTAAATATTATTACATAAATTGCGAGACTGCATACGTGTAAAACGTCGAGGGTAACTGACCAGAGGCGTGCGTCTTTTGCACGATAATGCACCTGTCCATACTGCTGGTGTTGCACAAGCTGCCATTTTAGAGTGTGGGTTCCAACAGATAGATCAAAGAGGGTGTTTTAGCTCATTTTGCAGACAATCCAAAAGAATATTTTTTAATGGGAAAGATATATTGAAAAATAATAAAAAATTGTTACTCTACTTTGTTTTTTTCATATTCAGGCGGCGAAATTTGGGCGCTGTCGTCGTATTCCGGGTTACGCATAATATCTGTATATAAAACTTGCAAAAAAGTAGAATCTTCAGCGCGTGGGTAGAAAATAGGTTGTTAGCTTTCCTAAAAACTGAGCCCAGGATGGATAAAGATGGACAAACTTGAAAAAAGGCTTTAGCCGTAATAATCGATATTCGAAATAAATTAATAACTTTGCTAAAGTAAGTTTCCTAGGGAATGCTACTTCTAGCAGTCGAACTCCAAGTGATGATGATGGTCGATATTCCAATGTACTTATGATGTATCTAAACAAAAGTTGCAAAAGTTTGTGGCTCAGGGAATGCTACTTTTAGCTGTTGGAAATTATCGATGATTATGATGATCTTTATCTCATGGTATGGTAAATATTGCAAAAGTTTTAAAGTGCAATCTTTAGCGCGTGAATAAAAAAGAAATTAATAAACTTTCCTAGCTGAGGGGTGTAAGGATGCTGCTTCTAGTAAGGAACTGCTTGATGATGTTGATGATGTTGATGATCTATATCCCAAAGTATTTATAGAATGTCTAAATAAATGTTGCAAAGGTTTTAAAGTACATCTTTTGCGCGTGGATAGAAAATAAATCAATAACTTTCCAAAACTTAGGGAATGCTGCTTCTAGCAGTAGAAACTTGATAATGATGATCGATATTTCAGTTATAAACTATCTAAATCAATGTTGAAAAACCTTTAAAGTGCAATCTTTGGCTTGTGGATAGAAAATAAATTAATTACTTTAGAAAGCCTGGGGAATGCTGCTGATGATGATCATCGATATCTAAATCAACGTTGAAAACGTTTTAAGGTAGACCCTCTAGCGCTTGAAATGAGTAGCCCAGCGTTGAGAGAAATGGAAAAACTCGAAGGAAGGCTAACCGTGGAAACTTCTTGATGATAATGATAATGATCCATCCATATTCCAGCGTGATTGTAAAGTATCTAAATAAGTGTTGCAAAAGTTTTAAGCTTTAGCTTTATTAAAGGATATAGAAGGATGAAAATGATGATAATAATGATGATGATAATGGTGATACTAAATTTTCCGGGGTATTTATAAAATCTGTGAATAAAATACAATCTGTTGAAAGGAAATAAATTAACAGCTTTTCTAAGTGCTCAGAAAGAGATAGAATACTAGAAGGAGAACCACGTTTAGATACGGGGACCATGTGAATGATACTCTATAATGGAGGGGATATTATATAAATGTCGCAAAATTTTCAAAGTCGAATCTTTAGCGCGTGGAAAGAAAACAACATAATAGGATTCCTAAGTGCCTGTTTATGCACACCATCCGCATAATATTACTATTTTCCAAACAATGGAAAAAGTTTAGCTTGAAACCGCAGGGATTGGGAAGTTTTACATGAACAGCTCTGGCAAAATATGTATTCTAAACTCGCAAGCAATGAATAATTAAACTTAAGACAGTTTGGAAACTGCGTCGTCGTCATCGCCTTGCCTTAGTTCCACATCTTATAAACTGCAAAATATAAAATGTAGAGCTAGGCACATATTACAAAATTTTCGTTGTGGTTGAATAATGCCTCGACAACTGATGGTGTGAAGCAATATACGCCTTACATGATTATACAGAGCCGGTTAAAACTATGTGCAGTTCGTGACTAAAAGTTAAGCTGATGCAGATTAAGCCTAATTACTTGTAATATTCCTTTGCTCCGGGCAACACGTCGACAGATAATCCTCGAAACTCCTTCGCAAAGTCGTACAATTCTAACGAGTGGTTCAGAAGCAGTTGCGCGTAAGTCTGGTTAATATGCCGGAAGACGATACTGGCCGATGACAACGCCGATGACACTTGACCTGCGAGGTCGGTACCTGGATGCAGTTCGTCGATTTTAAACGCAGGCCTGTCCATGGTCATTTCCTCCGGGCGACCCCAGTAAGCGTGGTCCGATGTGAAGTCGCCCACCTGTCCGTAGAGTTCGTGAGACGACACGTGACATTTGAGGAAATAGTCGGTGCCCCACTTTATTGCGTCCAGGGTGTCGTTGTAAAGACCTTAAGAGTTATGGATTTTGTCCTTTGTCCTTTATATCATACCGAGAGTCCCCGAAAGTGCTTTACACAATTCTACCAGAAACTAAAAACAGATTATTAAGGTTTTGAAGGAGAATTTTGTACAGAGCTTTCGGAGACATCCCGTATATCTGACATACATACTTATATTTTTGTAAGTGTTTTCGTATGCCAGAAGTCCCCATGAAAGGATCGTCATGGTATATGCCATCGTGTAACTGAATTTTACATAATCGCTACCTGAAAAGTGCACTATTTAATTTAATTTATCCAGCCAGGCCATTTTGTTATTTTATGGACGTTCTATATATTTAGCTAATTTTGAAACATGACGCGATGATACGTTTGCTCAGAATCTGTTCAAAATATTGTAAAAAGTCAAATCAAAAGCTGTTTGAATTCACTTATATGTTTAAAATATTATATTGTGAGAGGTGCAGGGTGTTTGCATTTTCGTGTACTAGTAACAACTTCCTTATTTCTGCTGATACCTCGTATATGATATACTCTTTGGCAAAACGCTTTTGTTATATATTTGCGGTTGAATTCCTTATAGGGCGAATAAAAATATAATTAAAAATTTGAATGAATAAATCATTGAGCAATTATTTTTCAAATTAAAGATATTTTAATTTGATTTGATTGATTGATTTTAATTTTTATAATTTTATAGTATTTCCAATTGAAAAGGGGGGTATTGTATAAGGTTTTTATTTCAATTGAAATATTGAAATATCATAAATATTTGTTTTTCATTATAATGTAGAAAACAATAATGTAGAAAATAATAATACTAAATAAGACAAATCAAAAATATTCATACAAAAAAATAATAATATTAATATTAATAATAACAATATTTTTTTACTTTTTTATATCGACTTTCAAAATATAGCGGTCAATCGATAAGTATAGTTAGACTTACAAACGTCACTTTTGACATAAATCTCAAAATATGTCAGAAGCAGTAAGACTTAGGTATAGGCGATACAGACTGATCTAAATTAAGTGTTCATCATTGGTAACTTATGTAACGTATGAGTAGAGATACAAAGTCGGATTAATTGCCAAGCTAGTAGCAATTTTTGCACTGACTACGATGGTGACGATAGAACAACAATTGAATGTATAATTTAGGAATAAATGATAAAGTAAAATTAATTTAAATAATTGATAACAATTGATATAACAATAATAATGATTAACACGTTTTGCTAAAAGGAGACGAGAAAATGGTGTAATTAATAAAGACGTGGAAATTGGTGTTATTATTACTTTTTCTTAATTACAAGGAAATTGTAGCTTTATTTCGCAATCACTCAGAGCCATCTAGTCTAAAAAAAATGTGCTTTTGGGTTAATATTGCCTATGACCTTTTTTGTTCTGTTGCTGAGTTTACGAACGTTGGACTAAAAAATATACTGGGAGTTCCATTTACTCTTTTTTTTTCTTAACCCTATATTTCAATTGTTATTTTTGTTCTTAGCACGGTAATCAGTGACAAAAATGCTACTTTTTAAAATAGAACAGTTGTTAGTTGTCCATGAACATACCAACACCTTGTAAATCAAATATTTTAAAAGTATAAGTATAATCAATGAAGTGTTTTTTTTATATTTTTTATAGGTGCCACCCTATATAACAGCCGTGCTAAATTTTCGATTACGAAAAAGCGTGCTATTTCTGGGATTTTTCGCAACGTATGGTATTTAGTTGTTAAATAGGTAGTTTTCAAACACACAAGTGTGGAATCAGTAGAAAAGAAGATGAACAAAGAACAACGCTTATACATTTCCTAATACGAGGGCTGCCAATTATATTCCGGGATTTTCTTAAGCTAGGGCTGCCACCTGGCGACTAACGTTTTTATAGGGAAGTTTGACATTTTGAGATTAATTTTACTCAGTTACGTTTTGGCGAAAGAGTGTTGTTCGGGTTTTTTGTGATAAATTAAAAAAACGGTTAAAAATGGAACTTAATTGGGAGCATCCTCGTGCAATAATTCTTTACAACTTTAAACGTAGATTAACTCGATAACAATGCATCTATGAACTTAATTTGACTTTTGGAGTTAAAGCACGGACATTGTAGTTTTCTTAAAGATGAATTTCATGAAGATCGTCCAAAATCGGTGGTTGTCCAAGAAAACATTGATGCAGTGCGGAAACTGATTTTGCACGATCGTGAGCATGAGAATGAGGTATATTTGAACAATAGTGGGACCAGCATACATACAATTTTGCATGAAATGTGGTCTGGTGTTGATTGGTAGAAGGAAATACTAAAAAAATACGATAGCGGTGCTTGCAAACACGTCTCTGATATCGTGACCGGTGATGAATCATGAATCTGAAAGTGAGCATCAGTCGGCTCTGTGGGTTTTTCAGAATGAGACAAAAGTTGTTCTGGCCACGTTGCAACTGTTTCTTTGGTTAAAGGTAAAGCAGTCAATTCTGAATGGTACACAACCATTTGTTTGCCGAAAGTCTCGAAGAAATTAGAAAAACCAACCGCACTGCGACAATGCTAGCTCTCAGCGATCAGTGCAAACAAAGAACTTTTTGAGCAATAAAAAAGTTGATTTGATGAGCCGTCCACCATATAGTCCCGATTTAGCACCTAATGACTTCTTTTTATTCCCATGCATTAATTTTTGACACCAGAAGAAGCGATTGATGAGTTTAAAAAGCACGTTTTGGAGTTGCCCGACTCGATGTGGGAAAAGTGCTTTGATTATTGGTTTTATCGAATGCAAAATTATATTGATCATTAAGGTGTATATTTTGAGAAACAATGAAATCATATTTGTTAGTAGCTCATAAGTTTTTATTACAAATCCCGAACTATAAAAGGTAACCCTCGTATTACTATTCTATAAATACTTAAACTGGAACCCCCTTTTATCCCCAGCTGAGACATAAGGCAAATTATTTACTGTGTTATTATATGCTCCGTGGGCATTACCGTCGTAATATCCCCCGCTCAGATCTTCTCCGTTTGCACCAGCGTCGTTCGTCGCGGAATCACCTCGCCATTTTATCCTATTATCCGGTGGTAATTTTCCAGACCGCTGAGCCTCGTAGAACAGCAGCGAGTACTTAATCGCCAGCCTGTAATCCGGTTTGATGTTGACACGGGCCGCAATGCAGAACACGCACAGAAACCACACGAAGGCGTGGGCGGCGTTTAGCAGCGACATCTGTAAACGTACCGAAAAAAGAAGACACAATTTGCGTACTTTCGATTCGATTTAACCCCAGAAATCGAATTCAGGCGAGATTCCAACGGGCGGTGCGTGCATTTATGTAATTAATGCATGCTCATTTTCCGTCAGGTAAAGGTCTGGACATACGAGCGTTAAATTATATCGCTTTTGAGATGTTTTTTTCTTTTGCGAAGTACTTACTGTCAGCTGTCATATATTACCATTAATAAAATTAAATCAACAAGATATCAATAAGAAACTCTCAAATTTATATTCTTAAATAAGACGTAGTAATACAATTATACAATCATCTGAGATCCTTTTCCTCTAAATCAGGTCAATCCTTCAGCAGAAACACCTCCATAGCTCCTAAGGACTGACGTCGTCTAAGCGCTAGTGTGTCCCGGGCCTTAGAACCAACGGCTAGTTTGCATTCATGTGACGCTGACTGTTTCCTTTGTCCGAGCGCATGTCTAACTCGTAAAAATGTCACAAGTCGGCGAAAAATCTGATAAAGAATAGCCGCCCGGGCGATCTGATCCTCCGTTCGTGGGAAATATTACTATGTGATGTTATTCCGCCCCTTGCAATGCGTATAGTATCAAAATTATTTTCTAATTCGAAGTTTTACGCTATACAAATAAGCCAAAGTTAGAATATAAGGAAGAAGTTTGCTGAGCGTTTGTGTGATGTGTGATATGCGATTTCAAACAACGAACAACATTTCAAGATGAAAATCTCAAAACGATGCATCCCATAGATGAAGAAATGCAAAATAATATACAGTGAACCGCTAAAATATGGAACAATTTCATTTAAAAATCAGATACTGGATTTCAAGGAAAATGCTCCCACACGTAAATCATAGTTTTTTTCTTCTTCTTTTTTTGCAGTGAATATAAAATATGCCAGATGGGTCCAGAAGTAGATGTCAATCCCAACTTCGTTTTTTTAAACGGATCGCCATTTTTTAAATTCATTTTCGAATTCTGCGTCAAATTTCAGTTGTAATTTATATAGCGCGGGGGGGGGGGGGGGGCAAGCTTAAGGTTTTTATTATTTTTTGTGGCTTTTAACCATCAATTCGATTTATTTTTGACTAACTTGAACTAAATTTACCAAAATTTTGGCGAAACTTCTGGCTGTCGTGCTCCACTCTCCCCTATTTATAATGTTATATATAATAATTATAATTATTCATAAAAAAGTATTTCATAAAAAAAAAGTTATTGATTAGTAACTATTTTTCTATGGATTAAAACAATTGTTTTTGGTATTTATAAGATTTTCGAAAGTTCTGGCTTTAGGCTAAATCCATAGAATTATCCAAAAAACTAACTTTTTCAACAAATTAATTATGATTCGGTTATACTAATATTATTATTAGAAGGTTGGCCTCCTTGCCGCAGGGGGGCCGCCCCACTCTGCTCTACTTACCTACAAAACATAACTCAAGATCTTTCATTAATTTAATAATAAATAAAATCATCTACATTTTGTGGTTTTTCCTTATGCAACATTTGATTTTAAATATCCAGTGGAGTAATACCTGGAGATCTTGCAGTCTTTTTTATTTATCCCCTTCACCACTTCACTGTGCGGAGAATACCGTAGTTAAATATCATAAATTGCATATCAGGTTGATTTTTATTTTGGAAAAAAACTGCGAAAGTAGGAATTAAGTCATTTTGAAGAGATATCGGGGTCTATTAAGATTTTGATTGAATTAATAATTTTGTTATTAAAAATCCCTAACCTCACATTCATTTTTTGTAGTTGATGTCATGATTCTCGTCCATTGGAGATTGTGCGTACTCCAAATTTATTACAGTACAATTTAAACAAAACGTGACTTTATCACTAAATAGTATCTAAGGAAGAAAAAATGAATAAAGAATGAAATCATCTTCATTTTGCTCCTTTAGTGATGTAATCTTGTTTCTTCTTTTAATACACGCAAAGGTGTTCGTTGGCTCACATCATTATTTGAAGATGGTTCAAAAGATGCACTATGGGGATTATCCTCAACTTCTAATAAAATTTTGGTTTCTCGTTAGTTTTTGGACCTTGACGTACACGATCTTTTACGTGCCCTATTTTTATTAACTTTCTCCCAATTTTACTCACTCTGGATCTTGTAGTGGGTCTTTCTGGATATTTTGCGTTAAACAAATTAGAATCTTCTTATTGAGTTCTGGTTTTGTCTCCGTATCCAATATAAATTAAAATCAATCAATTTTCTGGGTCTCATTTATATGCGCCATATTAATTTTCTTCACCAACAGAAACGTAATTGTGATAATTTAAGGACTTTACTACTTCATAAAAAGTAAGATTTACACAAATGGTATTTCATTTAAAAAGGGAACTTATTATTTTTTGAATCACCCTGTATATTTTATGTTTACTGCAAAAAAATTTGCAAACATTTTTTTTTAATCCAAATCCAAAATTATTTTGAATTTAATGGACATATTTACATCTCTAAAGAAGGTATCGTAAACCTTCACACACGGACACAGTCATACATAATAGCCCAAATCACCCTTATACACACAAAATGGCTGCATTTCACTCTTTTACAAACAGACTTCTTAATACGCACCTCTCAACAGAAAATTACAACAAAGAACTGAATATCATTAAACAAATTGCACTGAACAACGGCTACAAATCCGTCCATTATAGATAAAATTATAAATAAAAAACAAATCCAGACAACAGTCAACTCTATTTATCCGAAACCTAATGCAGAACACGAACAATTTAAAACAATTACATACATAGGAGAACCCAGTGAAAAAGTATCAAAGCATTTGTCAAATTGTGGTTTAAAAATGGCTTTCAGGACTAACAACGCAATAGGAAAATTTTTAAAAAAACAACGAAACGAAATGTCCAAAATCTTAAAAATCAGGTGTCTACAGGTTGAAATTCGGATCTTGTCCTAAAATTTATATTGGACAAACAGGTAGCTCCTTCAGAAAACGCATCAACGAACATAAAAGAGCGTTTAAAAACAATAGTCTAGATTCTAATTATACACACACTTAAACAATTTATTGGAAGCCATGGAGATGAACAAAATGAGACATTCAAATGTATTGCTTAAAGATCAATTAGATTTCAATACCTCTCCTTTATTGAACTTAAATTCTCACAACAACTTTAATTAAGGTTTTATTGTCACTTTGCTGTATATATAGTAGTAGGTAGATTGTAAATATTACATTTGACACGGTGTTGTCATTTGAAAATATATACTTTCCTGAAAATCTGAACTTTTAGTTCTTATTTATTTTGCGAAGACCATATCTTTGGTGAAGAGTTTCAGTTGTAAGTTGATTAGTACAGAATTTCTTCTGTATCCTTTCATTACGTAAACCACTAAAAATACATACTCCAGGTGATCTTACTGCAATACAGAAATTTGAGAGAGTGAAGGGGGTTTAATAAAATAGTAAAGCCCAGCATTCCCAGTTTTCTATTTACTAAAAACTTGTGTAAATAACCGAACGTTGGTTCGTGATTTTGATCCGCTTTGCTAGAAACAACCCGATATATCTCATGAATTAACGACCAATAACTGCAAAATAAAATACCATCACGATGTATTTTCCGGAGTTTATAAACTTGTTAATCAGTCGGCAGTACGATGAATGCTAATCCGCCCATAATGTATTTTGTGGTCGGCTATTAGCTAAAAATAGACAAAGCGTTTCTAATAATTTTATTGTAACATTTCTTCTTATTTGTTTTTCTTAAAGGACAAGTCAAACCGGTAAAGCGGATGGGAAGGGAAAAGGCTCTTTTATTTGTACTGTGTGTAATGTACTATTAGTTTTTCAATTTGTTTCCATATCCAAGACTTAATATTTGGTTTTGGTTCAACAGAACTTGTTTCGTTTTTTCAACTATCTGTAAATAGAGTTGTTTGTTATTCTTCAAGCATGTATTATATTTGATGTTTGAGCACTTGACTTAATTTTGGTCAGTTTTGCGTTTAAGTTGCCAATAATTTTAGAAATATACAGTGAAACCTCTCAATACGGGCACCTCTATTAGGCGGACACTCCTCTTTAAACGGCCATGTTTTTTGGCAATGTATGGCTGGAAAAGTGGCGCAAGAGATAAGTTTTAAATGTATCTCCAGAGAATGAGAAGAAGTCAGTCAAGAAGGCATAAATCAGTTGAAAGATAAGTTGCCCACACTACTCCTGGCCTATTCTTTCGAGTCTAAATCCGAAAAGTATAGTAGTGGAAAGCATTCCAATTACCAATTTTATTTTGTGCTACTATGGCAGGACAAAAAGAAGATTTGCTCGTGATTAGAAAAGCCGCCCGACCTAGGGCACTTAAAAATGTAAGAATTAAAAATTTACCGGAAATATGGAAATTTTACAAGAAAGCATGGATGACGCGAGACATGATGAATGAATGGTTGTTACAATTTGATAGAAAAATGGCCCTACAAAATCGAAAAATTTTATTATTCATGGATAATGCAGCATCGTGAGGTAAAGTTACAAAACATAAAAATTATCTTCTTGCCTCCAAATACGACATCAGTACGTCAACCTCCAGATCAGAGTATCATACAGAATGTTAAATTATATTATCGTGGACTCATACTGGTGCACATTTTGTCAAAGATGGATTAAGTAATATCCGCGTCAGATTTAGCAAAATCTGTAAATATTTTAGAAGCACTTTATTTTATTAAGTCAGCCTGGAATAAAGTTTCGCCAGAAACCAACGAAAAAAAAAAGATGTTTCTACATCAATGGAATGAGATCCAGAAGATAATACCCAACTATCTACGATGCTTGAAATGGAACGATGTGTTAGAGAAATGAACATAATGCAAGAAATTCTTGGTCTGAGGAGACTAGTTTGAACGTTGAAGATGCAATTGAAAACATGAAAGAACCTGAACCGGAAGAAGACAGCGATGAAGAATGTAATGGTGGGGAACCTAGTTATTTTTTGCTGTAATACAACAAAATATTTTTTCTAATCCCTACACTAAAATATCCATTGGTACACACAGCTACACTTTAAAAAAGTTAGCATCATTAAACACTGCTGGGAGTCGCTTCTAAGTACTTTAGTGACGAGTTGGCAGCGATCGGATGTTTTCGGAAGATTTTTTGGACCGATTTGGACGTTTCCCAATCCTAAAACCAGTCTTGGTAAAATAAATATAGGTAAGTATGTAACACCTCGATAATTTTTGTCGTGTCCTTAATTTATGTCAGTTTTCTGGGAAACAGTTCTATGGTTTTTAATACAAATAAATTTTTAACATTGTCAGGTTAAATATCTATATTTGCAACTACCATTGATTACATGATTATAAGATAATCTACAATATAATTTTTAAATTTTATGGGGCAATTCCCAAACACAAATTTTTCATCACAATTTCAATTTTTTTTAATTGTCTTTTCGTACGTTAACCATGCCGATAGTAAAATAATAATTGTTATCCGATTCAGGGATGGCCATCAATCAGACATTGTAAATTAAAACACGTTCAAAAGTATTATTGCTTTGGTAATTAAGATTCGCATCTTGTTCGGTTCAATTTTGAAGCAAGGTGAACAGCACTATGATAAATGGTTCTAGCTGACACAGCAAGAACGCTTTTTCTTTAAAAACGACATCGATAACGACGGCGAAGCAGTAAAATGTAAAGGATAACGCCAATTTGGTCAATTATAGTATTTTAAAAAATGCGAAGCGGAACAATTCAGTCAGTTGCGGTGGCCAAAATTGTTTTTTATCATCTCTGGCTTCAAACGGCTTAAACAAATGCGTAATAAAACGGTTGAACGCAAATCACAGACTTACCTTAGAAAAAAGTCGGAAAATTCAGCACCCGATTCTCATTTCATTATCACGGTCGAGGCAGTACATATCAATATTTACATTACTCGACGCTCATCGTCCGCACAAAAAACGCCGCGAGATTGACTAAATTCATTTGCGAACGAAGCGCGTTTGTAATTGTTTAATGTACCTTTCACTTTTTAAACAAAGACGTCCGTATCATCATCCTTCGTCAGTTGCAGCCGCTTCTTCAGACGTATTTAGTAAGCGCGTTTTCCAACGTCCGCCATTACTATTATTTTACCCAACTGACCAAAACAACAATTTTCTTGTTCTTTCAATGAGTTACAATTCGAATTGAGGGTTGCGATGTCATATTTGCTGCGCCTGCGCCATGTTGGTTTCATGCACTGACGTATCAAAGCGTTTAGGGACCAAAACGTCGTAGAAACTTAACCAAATATATTTTCTATCCTTATTAGAAACACAATTTAAATAGGAAATCATAGAAATTTCAAAATATATTTTTTACGTTAGAATAAGAAAACTTTTTATTTTATTATATAATAAAAAATATAATAATACTTTAAATCTCTAGTTTAGTTTGCTCCTCGTTCTTTTTTTTTTCGTTACTAAATAATTTGTGGGCTTCAAATATGGAAACATATAACAAAATGGCTTGAGGTGAAAGAGAACTTATTGGAAATTATTTGTAACTTTCTAGAATGACCGCCAGGGGGTGTAATCACATTCTTGAATTTTTGAGAAATAATTTTACGTTTCAGATGCTAAAATGAACACTTCTAGTATGGATAAATTCGATCCTTTTGTGCAGAATAGTTTTTGGTTTATATTTAAAATGTCAATAATAAGTAATAGTCATTCCATTGGATTAAATATTGCAGTAGAATATATTACAAAAATGAAAACACAAAACACAAGCACTTCTACGAGCAAAAAAGGAATTTAATAAATATATAATAATAAATATTGATTGACACTTCAACACTTGTTATTATTGATATTTTAGCATGCAAATTGCTAAAACAACGAAAATCTGGATTTAGCAATGACAGGTATTTGGACAAATGTTTCTAATGATGCGACTGTATTTTGAGCTTTTATTGCTTTTATTGACATCATAAGTTAGGAAATAGATAGTGAAATGCAACTTACACTAGCATCTTAGACTCTTATTTGGCTATCTTTTGTTGAAAAACACAAGTGATATGCCTGCATCTAATTTTTGTTTCAAAATGCATTTTATTTATGATGTCGCAAAACGTCCTCTAGCGGCGATGCATACAATTTAAGTCAATCTGCTTTAGGCAGCGTTAATAAAATAACCCTTTTCAACAATTCCAAGTAATATAAGATTACTTCTCATGTAGTGGTGGCCATTCAGTCAGAGAGACCCAAGTTGGGCAAAAACATATAAAATCACACTTTTATTAATATAATCCAATTAAATTAGATAATTTCAGTTTTACTTTATTCTAAAATGAAAAAAAAGTCTTAATGTTAATCTAATATAAAATTTGAAACATTCTTAACTTGAAAAGGAGGAAAACATACAGAAGAAATAATAATCCTGTGAAAAATTACCCATTCAGTTTAATATTAGCTCCGTATATATTTTTCTTCTTTGTTCATTTCTTCTATTATTTAGGCAATGCTAACGTTCATGCACGCAATTTATTTCCTCTTCTCAATGTTGTCTTCTTTCTTATTACCGTCCCACTTTTTGCTTCTTAAACCACTTATTCCACTGACGTATGTCACCATCTATCGGACAGTTACCACAGCTTTCCGTATTCGCCAGTTAATCATTGAAAAGAAAACGCTAACGGACTATGCAACGGTGATGTATTTAATAGTGAACAATAGGATAACAGGTTGTGGACATAATCGCAAACACTTGATTACAACAATAATAAAACAGTTTAAATTTGAACGGAAACACCCAGATCCACGCTTATTCGTATTTGGTGAAGAAAAAATGTACACAAATATCTACAAATTGGTTCCTAAATCAATCGATCGTTAGCTGTCTGAAGCTGCCATCTAAACCGAACAAGTCGTCGTAATTGGTCGGCTTGCCCGGACGTTTAGACTCGTCCGCTTTGATGTTCTCTTGCGCCTTGAACCAGGGTCCGTATTCATCCAGTTTTTTCATCCATTGGTCTACAATACACGAGAAACATTTCAAAAAACAGACCAAGGCAACGAACCAATCGGAAATCGCTTAAGTCCCGCCCTACGTGTAGTCAGGCCAATAGCGTAGCAGGAAGAGGCGTAACAAAATCCATTATCGAATCTTATACGATTACTTACCGTGGAAGTCTTGAAGTTTCCCGGCCGTTCCGCCATATTCTTCGGGCAAAATTTCCTTCGGCACCATGCTGTGAAGAGCTTCGAAGTCGGAATGAATATGTATTCTGTTACGGATCTTTTCCTTGATAAATGGCTTGACCCATTGGACTATGGTCTCCACTAAGGGCGACACATTCACGACGTGGACTTCTTTGAGTTTCACTGGATACGCCTCCTAAGCGACGCGCCTCAATGTCAACACATTTCAGATAGGTTATCCACTTCGACTTACCTGGACGCACACCAAGAATTTTTTTATGACGGAGGGAGTGACTTTGGAAAAGTGCTTGGCTGTGGCAACGCTGGCATCTAAGACGTATACGTCACCGGCCACTCCTTGTTCTTCTGCGGAAAGTCTTATGTCTCCGATCATTAGCACTAGCTTGGCGATGTCGGCTATGTTCGGGGTATCGACGTCCTTATCTTTGCCCCGTAGGATTATGACCCTTTTGCCGTCTGGAGTGAGACCCGGTAGAGGAGGAACGTGTCTAAAGGTGTAAGTGCTTTAGGTAAGAATCCGTGTTGATATTATTAGCCTATTAATTCTTACCCCATCTTACTGATCTCTTGCATTTCGGGCCTGTTGATATCCCGATTGGAGAAGAACTCGGGACAGGCAGTCCTCATGGTAAAATACATGTCCAGTTTTCTTTTCGTTTTCTCCAGGGAAAATTTGCAACCTCTCAGGAAGGTCATAATTTTGTCTTCGTCTATGGAAAAGTAAAATTTAAGGATAAACATATAGAATGTTTAATTAGTGAATAGTAGAATCATGACAGTTGGAATCATAAAAGCATATTTCACTATTAACATTTTACTAAAAAGCAGAATATTTATTTTTTGTACGCCTACCTATATTAGCCATTTCGAAAAAAATCGATTTTTATGATTTCAATCATCCTGTTGGGTTATTCTGACAGAAACTGAAGAAGCCAACAGGATGGCGAAACGTCAGCAAATTCGACTCAGCAAACACCGACGCAGAAGGAATCCAGAAGTTTTGTAAAAAGTATTATAGTAACCTGTGGAAGTTTCTTTGAAAAAGTTCTTTGGTTTAAAAATTTGAAAAAAGTGAAAGCCTTTTTAAAAGTTTCATATTTTAATTACACTTTGTCCACTCTCGCAATTAATATATACCGGGTATGGGAAAAAATGTGGGAAGTCTATGAGATCTATATAGAAGGGTAAAAGTGGGATAGACGCCGCACCTTAAAAAAAGAGAATTTAAAACCAAGTTCACGCTCAAGTACCAAGTTCCTCGGACAAATCTCGCCCCGCACAGCACAGTCTGCGCACGCGTTTCGACAGGACTGCACGTGTCGCCGCTTGAGTTAAAAAAACGTTGCAAAATTTTACCGCGCTTGAATGATTCTTGTGACAGTGACATTTTGACGTGTTCAGAACTCTCGTTTTCGACGGTAAGTTTTAAGTGTGTATTGTTATTTAAATAGTATGTATCATTTATATTTATGGTGTGTTTATGAAATTATGAAATTATTTAAGTATTTTTATTTGCTGGGCCGTCTATCCCTACTAAAAGGAATTGTATTGACTGAGTATAGACGCCCTTAGAGGCATATATCCTTTATGACTTATTCACAGGTACTTAGGCTGTAGGTAAGATTTTTGACTTTCCAGTTTATTTATGAGCTGTTTATACCTTTACATGTCGTACTTCACTGTATTTGTAAAAAACAATGCAGCGTATCACCTAATTTCATTTTTTATTATAGACAAAATGCCGCAAGAATATAAAAGGAAAATAGGGGCACCCGTTCGTGCTGCTTGGTCTGAAGAAGCCCTTTGCAAAGCTTTTGGGGAAATGGATAAAGGCCAAGTCGGTGTAAATGAAATATCTCGTCGTTATGGTATTCCATTTGCCCTAATCAATTGCCCTAATCAAATTCAATTTAGGAACCGTCTTCTTAGATTGTTTTTTCGTACTTGTCCTTTTTGAATACTCAGTTTTTTTTCTGTACCTATTAATTTCTTCTTTTTCAGGAAAACATCCCACACTGGACTTTGACAACGAGAAACGTCTCGTAGCGCACATACAAAAATTAGAAAAGGCAAGATTTCCCACAACACGACAGGATATAAGAAGACTCGCTTTTGAATTTGCCGAGAAACTGGGTTTGGAAAATTCTCTTAACAAAGAGACACGTATGGCTGGTCAGCACTGGCTCAAATCATTTCTAGAACAGCACCCAGAACTCAGTATTCGCCAGGCAGAAGGTTTGTCTATTGCAAGGGCTCAAGGATTAAATCGAGATGAAGTAAACAAAATGTTTGAATTGTTGCTAAAAGTACTAGCTGAAAATGATTTGATCGATAAACCTGATCGAATTTATAGTACTGACGAAATTGGAGTTCAAATGAACAATAATCCTGGTAAAGTTATTGCTACTAAAGGTGCCAAAGTAGCAAATTCCATCACTTCTAGCGAAAAAGGTGAGACAATGTCAATTATAGCCTGCTGTAACGCTATTGGCAACTATGTTCCTCCGGTGGTCATTGTCAAGGGGGTCAATAAAAGACCAGAGTTCCAAGAGGGTCTGCCTACGTCAACTCAGAACTCTTTCAAAAGTGGCTGAAAGAACAGTTCGTGCCAATAAAACCACAGGGCAAGGTTTTGCTTATACTTGACGGGCATTCATCTCACACTACTGCTATTGATTTGCTAGAATTAGCACAAGAAAATGACATATTATTGTTCTCTTTGCCAGGCCACACTACCCAGGCTTTACAACCGCTGGATCGGAGTTTTTTTAAACCTTTCAAAACTTACTTCGCTTCGGAAACTAAAAACTGGATGTTGAGTCAAAAAGATCGAAAAATAAATCGATACATTGCTGGTAAATTAATAGGTGACGCATGGGCTCGCGCTGCTACCTCTTCTAATGTTGTGAATGGGTTTCGTGCATGTGGTATTTTCCCGTACAATCCTTCTGCTATTCCCGACAGCTACTTTGCTATCTCTGATAACAGCTTTCAAAATCTAGATGAAGGAAACCTTGCTCAAGACCAACCAGTAGCTAGGGAACTCGACGCTAATGCTGATGTGACTTCATATTATGTTGAGCCTCAGCCTGATCCATCGTCATCAACTGTCAATAGTGAGCGGGAGCCTGATTTCGGGTTCTTACTATATGAAGATCTTGCAGCGGACGCACTTGTTATTCCCTTAGAAGGAAATGTCAGTCCGTCCATCCAATCTCAGAATCATAATGTTGAAACTGTAGAAGTCATAACTCCAGGTGAATATTATCTTAAAGAATGTTCACCGGTCGTAAAAATTCAAAATCTAGATGAAGGAAACCTTGCTCAAGACCAACCAGTGGCAAAGGAACTCGCCGATGTGAATTCATATTATGTTGAGCCCCAGCCTGGTCCATCGTCGTCAACTATCAATAGGGAGCCTGAAACTGTAGAAGTCATAACTCCAAGTAAATATCTTAACGATTGTTCACCTATCCCGAAAATTCCTGTTCCATTATACAAAAGAGGCAAGCAAGGTGCTGCCATTTTAAATTCAGAAGAACATATTAACTCTAAGAAGAAGCAAACACGAGACAAACTTAGAAAAAACAACGAAAAATCAGTTCCTAAAAAGAAAAGACCGAGGTTTAGGTCTGAAAGTGAACAAGAGTTCGATGAATCAGATTCTGACCAGACTAAATCCGATAAAAAAATACTCAATGCAGAGAATGTTTCGATGACTATGCAAGTACCAAGTCCACGGCGGACTGGATTCAGTGCCTGATGTGTAAACTCTGGTTACACGAAGATTGCACTCTATACGGCGATTACTGTAATAGATGTGGACACAAGAAGAAGCTTGCAGCTCTAAAAGCTAACCTGGCCAAAGTAAACAGTATCTCTATATTTGTCGATTATTTGAAAATTTTGATTACTGTTAGATTTTTTGAAAAGGAAGCTTTGTTTTTTGTCCAAAGAAGTCCCAAGGGACCGATTTGTTTTAAGTTTTATTATTCCTAAATTTAGTTTTAAATAATTTGTAATACACGTTGTTAAGTTGCTAAGTTTACCCATAGAATGATTGAAAGACTGAGCCATTTGTTCCTATAAAAGTGCCATTTCCTTTAGTTTCACGGTATATTTGGATAAGAAAACCTTATAATATATTATTTCAACTAAGAAAGCAAGTAAACATTTTATTTAATTTTCTACGAATTTTTTTCTTTATTACGGAGGCATCTATCCGATTGTAGGGCATCTAGACTCATGTCGCAATTTTGCCAGGGGCAACTACCCCATACAGTACGCGTCTATCCTCAAACAATAAGTTTTTTTAGAGCCGAATATCTACAAATCTACGGTATGCATTGAATGATGGTATGAGTAGATAGTAAGTATAAGGACTATAGTTGTTACAAATAGTTAACTCATTCGAATAGTGCTTTAAAAAAAAAGTTATAGTCAGCTTACAAAAAGTGGGGCATCTATCCCACTTTTACCCAACACGAAAAAAGAACATGATAAGTTTCTATAATTTTCTATCCTACGGGCCCGCCCTATGGTGATAGAACCCTCAAAATTATATCGCAGGAAATGTTTTTTTTTTATTGAGAAAAATGAACCCACTTTTTTTATTTGCTAAATTTATTCTAATTTGTTATTTAACTATTGACTGACTGAATATTAATTCATTTAATTAATTTGCTTAGATTTAATAACAACGAAACATTAAATCATTTATTATTATTTTACCTTTTCTTTCAATTAATTATACAGGAGAGTAAAACATTTAAGTTTAGTTGTACAACTTAGTATGAGCTAATTTAGCTAAATTGTTATATGATTCTAATTTATGGGGTCCTTATTAGTGAACATCGCATTAAATTTTACTAAATTATGTCAAGTACCTTGAAAGTTTTTTAAGGTACTTTAGAGGCTCATATCTCCGTAAAGAAGAAAACATTAGATTAATGTAATTTTTTTCTGTTCAATCTGAATCTCAGAGATTTCGCACACTTCCTCGTATACCCTGTATATCGCCATTGTAATTCTTTATTTTATAATTTGCGTTTTTTTTTGTTGTACTCATATTGTTTATGTCAGTTTATGAAAATTTATTAATGGTTATTATTTGGGAATGTTAATGTGATATTTTATTTCTCTCGAAATTCCAGACATATTTTATGTATACTGTTATCCATTGAGATACATGTTTGAGGCATTTATTATTCGCTGTTCCATTGTTCATCATTTTGATGATTACTAATTCGGGTCGAAGAAAAATTACAATTAAAATGAAAACCATACTGAATTGCATCAGTAATCAGCGCTATTTATTTAAAAACGAATTTTGCATTAAAACCCTACTCCATATTTACATTTCGTTTCGAAAAAAATTAAACAAACACATCGCTCGTACACAACAATTATATGATACATGGAACCAATTTAATTTGTTTTCAGTTTCGAACAATGCTCCAATTTTCGATTAATATTTCAATTATTTTTTTTTTCACGGCCGCCGAGCATTCGAATGCAATTTGAATGCGATTTTAATTAACAAATACAATTCGTTTCGCAATTTGTGTTATTTTGCGAAAAGACTATTGAAATTCCCAATTAAAACGGCTCCATATAAAAAAAAAGCCATTATAAAAAATGCAAAACTAGAAAACTTTCTCCCGAATAATATAAACTGTTTTATAAGGGAAAAATGTAAATTTATTTTTAACAATATCATATTGTGTTAAAATATGTTTGTATATTTGTATTTTTTTAGTTACTGTTTATATGTCTTAATATACGACTAAGCTAAGATTGAAAAATGTTGTCTATGAGTTTTCGAAATATCCGATTTGATAATCAGCGTGGCCCAAAAAGATTGTTTTCCACATTTCTGTAACTGATTTGCAACATCCGGAAACAGGTTGAGGTTCACCATTAACTAATATTTAACTAAAAAATTTGGGACAAGTGCCACCTTTTGTTGAAGTTATTGGAAAGGCTTTCACAATTGTGTTAAATTAAAAAAATAAAAACTTTTTTTTGCACAAATTTATTTAAATCGATTAATTATAACGTTATTTTTTAAGTTAGTTGGGCCATCAACCTATTAGAATAGTTGCAGATAATAAAAATTGGGTCAGTTGGCAGTTTATATTTTTTTGTTTTGTTTTAACAGCTGTTTTCCTTTGTCTTTGTCATTATTACAATTGATGTAGTAAATGTGTATCCCTTATAAAATAAAACGATTAATTAGTAATCAACATTTATCTTATGACATTTGTTTTTCTGACGAATGTAAACTAACAGAAAAATGTTTGAAGAAAAGGCATATTATTTAATTTTGACTTTGGATGGCAATTCATTTACATTAGAGATAATAGCCATCGTTTCATCTGATATGAATGTTAAAAAATTATCAATCATAAATAAACAAAATAAAACATAAAAGTGTTATGCAGTGCAAATGTTCCAGAAGACTATGTCCTTAAAGTGTTTGCAAAAATTTATCATTTGTCATAACTCGTAGCATAACATCAACAATCAACATTTACAGCAAGAGCGATCGAATGGCCCGCAATGCCTCCAGATATAGACTTCGAGTTTTTTTTATGTGGATATTTAAAAAGCAAACTAGACCAAGATTTCTGTAAGAACTGCGTAATAAAATAGTAGATGAACGCCGAAGAATCACTCCAGAAATGTTGTAAAATATCAGAAGGGCTTTTGAAGAAAGACTTTATTAATGCAGGGAAGACGATGGTAACAATTTTGAGCATTTGATTTAAATTTTTTGGTAGTTACTTTTATAAAGAAATTAAATAAATCATTTTTAAAAGTCATTTGTGACGCTGAACTTATCTGGATTAAGTATCTCAAGAAGCTAATTAACCACGCGCATTAAGTACAGTCTTCACCATAAAAACCGTACGAAAATTGTGAACTGCGTTGAAAATTGTAGAAAGATTTTTTCTTTGCTCTATTTTAACTTTCGCAACAAAAATTTTATTTTCGAAAAATTATAACAAAAACCTTTAAAATGAGGTACCATTTCACCCGCCCTCCCTATCTAAGTTGTAAGGGCGAATCTCACCCCTATAAGAGGAATTCATCTACGAAAATTTCAAATGGTGGTTCTTTTAATAATTTGCGCACTGTATACGTAAGTAATGGGTGTTTTTTTTGAATGTATAAAACTTTAAGTTGGCATTACTGTTCAAGATGGCGACCGATTTAACAGCTGTCAAGTGATTTATTCTCAGTTTGGTTTGGCAATTCATCATGAATAGACTCACGCCTAAACAACGCTTGCAAATAGTGCAATTTTATTACGAAAATAATGGTTCTGTGCGGAATGCGTATCGCGCACTACGTCCAGTTTATCGTCGATAAAATCGTCCATCAGAGCAATTAATTCGATTAACCATGGAACGTTTTCGCACCACGTTTACTCTTATCGATAACTCGCATCCCCAGAGACGCCGTACGGTGCTTACAGAAGAAGCTATTGCTGCTGTAGAGCGTAGCATTGAGGAAGACCCGAAAAAGTTCATCCGCCATTGAGCACAGGAATTGGATCTGTGTCCATCCACTTTATGGAAGATTTTGCGGAAGGATCTTGGTTTACGTGCTTACATAATCCAACTCGTGCGAGAATTGAAGCAAAACGATCATCAAGTAAGGCGTAGATTCGTCGAATGGGCCCAAAACGAGATTGCCGTTGTTCCCGATTTTCATAAGCGAATTTTGTTTAGCGATGAAGGGCACTTCTGGTTGAATGGCTACGTCAACAAACAAAACTGCCCCATTTATGTCGAAAGACCGTTACATCCAGAAAAACTAACTGTTTGGTGCGCTTTTTGGGCTGGTGCAATCATTGGTCCGTACTTCTTCAAAAACGATGATGTCCAGAACGTTACAGTCAACGGTGATCGGTATAGAGCGATGATTACTAACTCTTTCATTCCTGAATTGAATAACCATGATGTCCAGGAGATGTGGTTTCAACAAGACGGCGCAATATGTCACACAGCTCGTGCCACAATCGATTTTTTGAAAGACAAGTTTGGTGACCGCATAATTTCACGTTTTGGACCTGTGAATTGGCCTCCAAGATCTTGTGATTTAACACCGCTAGACTACTTTCTGTGGGGCTATGTAAAGTCATTGGTCTATGCGGATAAGCCACAAACGCTTGACCATTTGGAAGACAACATTCGCCGTGTTATTGCCGATATACGGCCACAAATGTTGGAAAAAGTCATCGAAAATTGGACGTCTAGATTGGACTACATCCGCGCCAGCCGTGGCGGCCATATGCCAGAAATCATATTTAAAATGTAATGCGACAAGATTATCTTTCGGATAAATAAAATTCATGTCAATCGAATAATCCATCGTTGTTTTATTGCAACTTAAAGTTCTATATATCGAAAAAAAACACCCCTTATGTGCTAGAATTTTCACTAACTACATAATATTTGCGTTCATGATTTTTTATTTTAATTTCTTGATGTTATTGCCTTCACGTCGTAAGCATATTTTGTTAAATAATTTTGCCCCAACAAACTCTCTCACTACCCACCCCAAGTGTCCGGTAAATGGGGCTGTTTCAGAAGCCATTCCTTGATGTGTTGTAGGTCCGAGTCTCTCGTGGTGACGTCCTCGTTCAACGCCTTCCTGATGTTGATCTGAAGTTCCGGTGAAGGTTGCACTAACGTCATTGTTCTGAAAAGTAACGTTCGCCATAGAACCATCGCAAATCGTGATTCATGTCTGCAAATTGCTTTCGTGTGGAAATATTTATTTTGCGTTAACGTATATATATACTTGCGGTAAACACGACAATTATTATGAAATATCCATTTCACTTGCTCCGAGGGACATTGAATTATAGCCTTGACCCTACGGACCGCATATAATGTGAGCTAACGACAGCGCATACAACTAATTTAAATCGATTCAGTTCATTTCAATAAGTAATTTGTTTAGCGCTAATAAATATATTTCATTATTTGTACCAATGACTCACCATTTCTGGAATACAGTAAACTGCTTTTAAGGGCCTTAAGCGGCAATCTTAAAATAAAAATTGACATAACTGATATACAGCGCCGTATATTTAGGCTAAAAAAAATTATAGTAATTTATTCTACGGTGTTTTAAAATGCGATATTGTTTGTTAGCAAAATTTCTGTTAGCAACCAAAATAAATTTTATTTGCTTAGTATTATTATGTTGCCTTTTTTAAATTGACAGGTTTAAAGATCATATTTTATTGTATTTAGTTCACTTTTCATCAAATATTTTAAACTGATAACACAAAAAGCACAATTGAATGTTCAAAACGGAGAATTTTGTAATAGGCGAGCAACTGCCATTTCTTCTTTTCAATTAAGAAGTAAAGATGTAAATTAGAAATTAATACAAAAATCCTTGAACATGTTGAGTTATAGAAATTTCACAAGAGAAATTCAAGCACAAATAACGAAAGCTTCTGCATTTTTGCTACTTCTGGATGCCAAAAATATATTATATGTAGAAGCAAATATGTAAATAAAAAAGGATATCTAAAAGCACATATAAAATAGAGACAAAATCGGATTATCAGTGAAATCTATGTTTGAAATATCACTATACGACAAATTGAAGTAATGAATATGTAAACAAAAAAGGATATATAAAAGCACATATAAAATAGAGACAAGATCGGATTATCAGTGAAATCTATGTTTGGAATATACGACAAATTGAAGTAATGAATATATAAACAAAAAAGGATATATAAAAGCACATATAAAATAGAGACAAGATCGGATTATCAGTGAAATCTATGTTTGGAATATCACTATACGACAAATTGAAGTAATGAATATGTAAACAAAAAAGGATATATAAAAGCACATATAAAAAGAGACAAGATCGAATTATCAGTGGAATCTATGTTTGGAATATCACCATACGACAAATTGAAGTAATGAATATGTAAACAAAAAAGGATACATAAAAGCACATATAAAATAGAGACAAGATCGGATTATCAATGAAATCTATGTTTGGAATATCACTATACGACAAATTGAAGTAATGAATATGTAAACAAAAAAGGATATATAAAAGCACATATAAAATAGAGACAAGATCGGATTATCAATGAAATCTATGTTTGGAATATCACTATACGACAAATTGAAGTAATGAATATGTAAACAAAAAAGGATATATAAAAGCACATATAAAATAGAGACAAGATCGGATTATCAGTGAAATCTATGTTTTTAATATCACTATACGACAAATTGAAGTAATGAATATGTAAACAAAAAAGGATATATAAAAGCACATATAAAATAGAGACAAGATCGGATTATCAGTGAAATCTATGTTTGGAATATCACTATACGACAAATTGAAGTAATGAATATGTAAACAAAAAAGGATATATAAAAGCACATATAAAATAGAGACAAGATCGGATTATCAGTGAAATCTATGTTTGGAATATCACTATACGACAAATTGAAGTAATGAATATGTAAACAAAAAAGGATATATAAAAGCACATATAAAATAGAGACAAGATCGGATTATCAGTGAAATCTATGTTTGGAATATCACTATACGACAAATTGAAGTAATGAATATGTAAACAAAAAAGGATATATAAAAGCACATATAAAAAGAGACAAGATCGAATTATCAGTGGAATCTATGTTTGGAATATCACTATACGACAAATTGAAGTAATGAATATGTAAACAAAAAAGGATATATAAAAGCACATATAAAATAGAGACAAGATCGGATTATCAGTGAAATCTATGTTTGGAATATCACTATACGACAAATTGAAGTAATGAATATGTAAACAAAAAAGGATATATAAAAGCACATATAAAATAGAGACAAGATCGGATTATCAGTGAAATCTATGTTTTTAATATCACTATACGACAAATTGAAGTAATGAATATGTAAACAAAAAAGGATATATAAAAGCACATATAAAATAGAGACAAGATCGGATTATCAGTGAAATCTATGTTTGGAATATCACTATACGACAAATTCAAGTAATGAATATGTAAACAAAAAAGGATATATAAAAGCACATATAAAATAGAGACAAGATCGGATTATCAGTGAAATCTATGTTTGGAATATCACTATACGACAAATTGAAGTAATGAATATGTAAACAAAAAAGGATATATAAAAGCACATATAAAATAGAGACAAGATCGGATTATCAGTGAAATCTATGTTTGGAATATCACTATACGACAAATTGAAGTAATGAATATGTAAACAAAAAAGGATATATAAAAGCACATATAAAAAGAGACAAGATCGAATTATCAGTGGAATCTATGTTTGGAATATCACTATACGACAAATTGAAGTAATGAATATGTAAACAAAAAAGGATATATAAAAGCACATATAAAAAGAAACAAGATCGAATTATCAGTGGAATCTATGTTTGGAATATCACTATACGACAAATTGAAGTAAGGAATATGTAAACAAAAAAGGATATATAAAAGCACATATAAAAAGAGACAAGATCGAATTATCAGTGAAATCTATGTTAGGAATATCACTATACGACAAATTGAGTAATGAAGACCTAAGAGAACAAAGTGAAATCGAGGACGTGACAAAAGGGGTTACATTCTCAAATAAACGCCTAAGAAGAGTGAACGACAAATTGCCAAAAATGCGAAAGAATAATGTACCAATCAAAACAAGATCCGAAGACATTTTACTAGGATAAATATGCTACATCTTACCGTATTGAAAGACGAAGAAGAAAAGCAAAGCAAATATTTGTGGTTAGCCAGCTTTACTCGAGATTCGAAATTTCTGGCGTGGCTTTCCAGAGAATAGTGTTGTATATAATATAAATGCTATAATAAAATAAAATACTTGGGTTTTCATTTTAATCCACATTTAGCACGGAAAAACCACAGTTACTAGCGCCATATTTTCAATTAGTTCAATGATTCTATGGTAATGGTAGTTTATCACAATCTTTCCTTTTCCAAATGTTCCCATGGTCTATTAATTCACGGATCATTCTGCATATACGTTTAGAGTACTTTAGAGTAGTTTGATGATGATGATGAAGTAAAACCATAGTATATTAAGTTGCATATCATGATATTGCCAAACGAGTTGTTGCGTCTTATTCTGTAAATAAAAGCCGTTATCTCTACACTATTATAATACGCGTGGTAAAAATGTAATAAAATTAAAAAGGACTTTTATAACTTTGCATAAAATTGCATTTTCGGAAGTATGAATTGTGCTGGGATATGTACACCGTGTGCCAAATAAAACGATCCACTATACGATCTGGAAACCCATAGTAGATCGGAAAAAAAGTTTCGTACAAAAGTCTCCTCGATTCTACTGAAGATTTAAAACATTATAATTTTGTTGATATAGGGTGTCCCAAAACTGTCCGCCCCGACATCAACTTTGTTATTTTAAATAGAATGCTCTGTTCGACATTTTTGGGATCTTTGGTTAAAACAAAGGTCGCTTTCTTAAGAAATTCCTATTTGAATTTCGCATAGTTTAGGCAGACATTGAGGGTTTGTGTTGTTTTTTTCATATTTTGATTGCTCCATATAAAATGGTGTATTGACGCTACAGATCCAGGTATTGCAACGAAAATTTAACCACAGACTAAGGAAATGATGCACTACACTACAGTTTGACAGGTGCGCCTCAGATTATACAGCGTGTCCCAAATAGGTGGTACCGTTTTGGCGAATTTAATTAACAAAATCTCAAGATTTTCAAAGGGAACTCCCCATATTTCTATTCAGATATCAATTCTAGGATAAAAAATAAGGTAAGTTTCTAATTTATCTTATATTTAAATTTTTCTTATTTTTTGAGATATTCGAGGTTTAAGATAACACCCGCATAAATTCTTGTTGAATTTAAAGATATAATACTCCATGCTTTTTAAATAGAAATATGGAAAACAACAAAAACAAACAGAAATGTCAAAGTTTGTTTATACCTTAATGCGTCAAAACAAAAAGGTTGTGATGTCATAGCCAACTACATTTTTAAATATTTTGATATTTTTTTATTGTTTTGAGGACAGATGAAACGAGAAATTTAAGAGGAACATTTGTAACTAAACTTTATGAATCGAATTAACGAACTCTTTCTAGTTCACTTTTTGATTTATAGATTTATTTATTCAAATTGCTTACCTTGTTTAGTTAGCCTATAAACTTTAATTATTTGCTTTTCTTATTAGGTATTTTCAATCAAGCTATATATTTAGGAATAGGTTTTATATTTATATTTATAAGATAAATTACAAAATTATCTCATTTTTTGTCCTAGAATTGATATCTGAATAAAAAGAAAATTACAATTTTTTAAAACTTCTCCTTTTTTTCTCCATATCGTTTTATGTGGCACACGGTGTACAGAGACTTATATATATATATATATATATATATATATATATATATATATATATATATATATATATATATATATATATATATATATATATATATATATATATATATATATATATATATATATATATATATATATATATATATATATATATATATATATATATATATATATATATATATATATATATATATATATATATATATATATATATATATATATATATATATATATATATATATATATATCTATTCGTTGAACTCCGACTGGAATCC